TAATCGAGACTGCTGATATTCTTGTTTCATCAACTTGTTTGTCAATACCTTACCTCGTGTTAGAAATTGTTCATACGTAAAGCATGTTCTTGCGTATCGAATCAACTGAGAGATATAAACCCCGTATGCAGGTGATAAAGGTATATTGCTGCATAAATAAGTAAGGGAAGTTGACGATTGAAAAGTTAAAGTCATCACGTTTATCATAAAGCTTGGTTGTTAGATTACCATTAACGTCTTTTTCTAGTAAAATATCCAAATATGAAACAGATGTGTCAGCCTCTGTAGAATCTTTTATTTCAAGCTCACTGGGATATATCGAGAGACGAGAGAAATGCCGAATGCAAAAGATGCCGCTGATTCGCTGAAAATCTTAATAGATAAGTCAGGTATTTACTATTACAAAACAGCAGACACTCTAACTGATGGATCATCATTTGAACAGAATCCCACGGCGCTAAAGAAAATGGTCTTGCCAAACTTCGGAAAGTTAGAACCTCTTGAAAAAGTTACTAGTAAAGCATTGAACAAACTGTGACTTTATCTAACACACCATTACTTGTACAAAAACGAATTCCTCCCCAGGCTCCACCTCCTAAGACTGTTCTACAAGATCCGCCACGTAAACATGTTCTCCAGGATCCACCACCTAAAACAGTTCTCCAAGATCCGCCACTTAAGCCTGTTCTCCAGGATCCGCTAAAATGGAAATAACCGTTGTTGATTGACAATACGTCGTCGATATATCGAAATGTCGAGTTAAAGGCCACAGCAAGTGTTTTCTTCTTTTCACGTACAAGATTTTGAACAAATTCTGCTTCATATGAATACAAAAATAGGTCTGCTAATATCGGGGCGTAATTGGTACCCATGGAAATTCCAGCAGATTGTTGGAAGACCTGGTCTCCAAAAACCACATAGATATTGTCAATCAGATAAATTTCGGTTTACTTTCACAGAGAACGAAACCAATTCATCCAACATGTCCAACATACTGAAACTTTAATATGAATGACTATATACCCTATTACATGTATCTTATTGGTGTTTATTATATGTGACTTGTTACTATGTTATGGTAACTATTAAGATAAGCGGAATTAAATATTACAATTTGACAAGGTATTTTAAAGTAAATGTGACATTTTCCTGTGTGCATAACTTTGACAATTCTATCAAGCTATGGTTACCCGACCAAAACTATAAAGTGTCGTAAACAATTGAAAATTGACCTAAGTGTAAGTCTGTTTCATGATCCATATTACGTCGTAACATTATTTTATTATGATATACATAAATCTACCGTCCGTGTCCTCTACCAAATTAAGAAGTTGTTCGATTTAAATTTGTATATGACAATTAATTAATGTCCTACAATTATTCATTAAAGAATTCTAGTTGTTGCATTTTTCATCATAATTTAAATGGAAACAGAACGGTCGATTTTCTTTTTCTTCTTAGCATAGGGTATTAAGTACGCACATGCAGCGTTGGTGGCAGTCTGGATCATGATTATGTTAATTTTGGTCACTGTTAATCAGCACAAATGTAAAGCTGTATGTGCATTCTTCAAAGGGACTTGAGTGGAGTTGTCTAACTTGAGTAAGAAGCGACTTAAATTTATGCAAATTTTTAAGGACTGAATTTAATAGCTACCCAAGTTATACTAGTATAACCTGGGTTGGGGCAGTTTACGCTTTATAAACCGCGAAGCGGTTTATAAAAAAGCGTAAACTGTTCCAACCCAGGTTATACCAGTATAACTTGGGTAGCTATTAAATTCAGTCATTATAATTTAATTTTCCATCATTAAGTGTAAAAAATAAGACAATTTCTCCTTCGAAAATGACTTTAAATTGTATGTATTTTAAATGTAACGTCAAGCGGATTGATACGTTTTTGACGTAAGTCATTGTGACGTAGGCAACCCAGTTTATACGATTTATTCTAATTTTTTTTATCCAATCAAATGATGCGTTACAACCAAAATTAAATTATTAAAAGATAACGCCCAAGCACACACAAAGTTTATATTAAACAGACAAAGTTTATATAAAACAGAAGTTTATGTAAAACAAACAGTGGTGGTGGGAAATAGTGTAATTTAAAAAATATCAATTGCAAGACACACTTTGTTTTGTATTGTATTGCGTTGCAATGTTCTTAATTGTAAATTCTCTTTAGATCAATTTAAAAAAAAATCAAATCAGTTTTTTCGCTATATAATGATAAATATATATTATTATAACAGTAACTTGGTCCGAAGGACCAAGCAAAATATAATAAAAGGAAACTTTTTGTATCAATAACATAACTTTTATCCATTAAACAAACCATTTTGTCAAGGAACTTTTTGATGCACGAGAATAAAAACGTCATTTATCTGTGTACTACGTCATCAGTTTCAGAGAGGGGTGATATGAATTCAGAAAACCACAGTGTGGTGATCCGGAACGTCGGATCACACCGTCACGTGATTGCGTAAATTCAATAGTAAAACTGAGTGACAAACAGTTGGGTATATAATAAAGTCAACGGAGTGTGTTGTCTGGACGTTTTTATCGAACTGTTAATTGACCTCAAATTTTGGAATTAAATCGGCATTGTTTGACAACTTATTCAAAATCAGTTATATAAAAGCATTAGGCATAGTGAAAGTATGAATAATGCTGGTTGATTTCTGGTTTGCAAAGACTTTTCCGACTCAACTGCAAAACATTGCGAAGAGAAGAACCAAAAACCTTGGACAGATAATATTTACAGCTGCCTTGTGGTTATTCATTTTGCATTATATTCCCTTTAATTACTAGTAGAAACACACAATTTACGCAGATGAGTAAGAGTATTTGCAGGTCATTTCGATCTTGTCTATGATTACCAAAAGTGCGTCATCTAACTGTGAATCAAGGCTAATTGAATACGCTTATCATAATAGAGAGAATCCCTCGATAGATAATGTTTATTTGATTGGTTTAACAAAAGCAAATATTTCATACAGAGAGAGAGAGAGAGTATTTCATGTACATGGACGTAAAATCTAAAATATTGCATAAGCACGCTTCAATTTATAAAACGAAGCAACATTAAAATGCTGTTAAGCTACCTTATTTGAGGTGATGAAATTTTATCAAATTAAGGAATTTTTGTAAAATCATTCACTAAGAATAAATTTTCAGAGTCACAAATACCAATTCTAACACTATATTATGCGTGGGTCATCCAACCAAAAAAAAAATCTTATGAGGGCGCATATAAGGAATTTTATTGTTGTACCAAAATTTGAAAATCAACCAAAATCGGTATTTCTTAGATGTTATATGTTAAACAAGTTTATCTGAATAAGTAGTCAGTCACTACACAAGACAAGATGTCGTGAAAGACTATCGACCAGTTAAAATATTAGAAGAGTCAATTTAAGTATGATTCATTTAGAAATAATACATATAAGCTTCTCAGGTGTAATAATACTGATTTAATTTATGATTCAAAATGTTCAAAGTTTAGCTTCATATCACATTCGTATAAATGACCTTTTGGTTACATTGTTTGAGTATAACATAAATAAATCAAGCAACATTTCAAAGCAACCAATCATGACTATTCTCTGTTTGCCTTTTTATTCAATTCTTAATTAAATTTCATCCCTGTTTTCATAATGAAACAAAACAATTTTATCCATTAAGGACATACGCAACGTAGTTTGAACCTGATTGTCTTTTCCCCTAGAGTTGAAGAGTTCCAATACTTGGAGGACCTGTGTGCTACTCTTTTAATGTCTAAATATGGTGCTTTACACTTCTTCTAAAACAAGTTTGGATAAAAAACATCTAGAATATATGTTTAGTAATTTTTGTATTATTTTTCTTTGAATAATACAAGAGTTTTCATCATTTAATATCTATTCAAAACCCCTGGTAATGCATGCTGCTTTTTTGTATGCAAATATCTAATGGTACTATAATTTTAAATTAAGAATATCGTGAAAAGTTATCAGTAGGTCAGGTACATTGCATATGTCCTTAAGCCATTTATCAAAATTATTTGAAATTGGTACAGCGATTTCAGGAATGGTCCGAAGTCACGACAGACTAAACATCGACAGGAAGGAAACAGACAGTACTTGGTCACCTGAGTAGATCAGGTGAAATAGAAATATCTTTTCTAGAACCATTTTCTCATTTTTATCGTCTTTACCGAACAAATGACGTCCCTAGCATCTTAATATACAGAGATACAAATTTATGTAGGCCAACATATTTTACTGGAAGGTTATTCATTGATGCATTTAAACATGAAGTCAAGTTTCATATTGGCCACACAGGTTGTACATGTATGTTTACACATATGGTACATACGTAGAACTGCATATAAGTGCGATTTCAGTTTTGCAGAAAAAATGAATAAAATCGTTTGTACGATTTCAAAAATTCTTTGTACAATACGTATATGTGAATGTGATTTTTGAAAAAAAAATTCAAAGCTAAAAATAACATTAACGTTCTTGAGAGACAGTCAAACATATACCACACGTACTGGCACCTTATGAAATAAATTAACACATTTTACTAATAGAAAAGAGGAGTGATGTCCACTGAAATCTGTGTAGAAAATGAAACCAAATATGCTCCGTTTATCTTCCAAACTAAATTATTGTACCATAATCATAAATACTGGCAGATAAAACATGTACATCATGTAATATTTCTCGTAGAATTATCAATTAAACTACAATAAAATAAGTGCATAAATCCAGCTTGCGTGTACTTTTATGTCAAAATGATTGATCTAGCAGAGTAACCATTTTTCTGCAGCAGTCGTCACTTATTTTGTACTTTAAATCAATGGTGTAATATATATATATATATATATATATATATATATATATATATATATATATATATATATATATATATATATATATATATATATATATATATATATATATGTATGTATGTATGTATGTATGTATGTATGTATATATACACCATTGATTTAAAGTACAAAATAAGTGACGACTGCTGCAGGAAAATACTTACCATTGTTGTCTATTTGAGCGGAACGTTAAGATTGTAAGCTAAACCAGAATGGTAAGATAAAGCTTTGTTTACCCATTTTAGGAGGAAATTTTGTATAATCTTATGAAAAGTTGTACGTAAATAAATCTTCCAGTTAATGCTTTGTCTTCCAAATTTTTGCCAACACGGTTTTTTTGAATACAAACATTAGATGTCAGATGATGAAATGTGTCTATAAAATTAAATGTTATAAATTATAAAACTCAAAATCATTTCCCGACAATTTATAGTTTCGTTGGTTCATCGTTGCTGCTCTCTTCGCCTTGGTGGCTGGAAACTGTACTGACTTTGCTGCGCAGTACGACTGTATGCAGAATGCCAAGAAGTGGTTGTCAGTCTGCTTAAATTGTGAGAACACTAGGGTACACAAACTAGAGTGCGAACTGAAATGTCTGAAGGTTGCTAACAGACGGCTTATACGTTGTATTACTTTGGAGTAAAAGCAACTACTAAAGGAAACGGAAATGTCTGACAACAACCTAATGATCAACCAATTTCGCCTTTTGTTTTTGATGAATTTACACTAAGGTGTACATATCTGAAATAAATCTATTTCAGTTGTAGTTGTCTTTAATGCTCAACATCAGTATCTATTCATCTGTGATTCTAAGGGATATTGGATATTTCCCGTACGTGAAACATTCATTCTTGTATTAGTTCCATCTTCTTTGGCACTTAGAGCCATTCTTAAAAAATACAAACAGATAAATAACTTTTTTTGCTTTTATAAATAATAATTATTTTAAAAAACCTAATTGCCAGCATAAAATTCACCTGTATCGTAAGTTCATTTCCTTCTATTAATGCTGTTAGTATCCGATAATCTTATTTTCTATACATGATACAGCTATGTTCTTTTCATATTTCCAGATTTATTTGCAGGAGACATATTTGTTTGCAATTTGCATCATTGTCTGTCTGTCTGTCTGTCTGTCCGTCTCTTTCTCTGAGAGTCTGAGTCTGTTTATCTGTTTGACATCAAACTGCATGGGGCATAATTTTAATGGATTGGGGATAGGAAGACATGTCCCCCCCCCCTAAAAAAAGAAAAATATCTTTTTCTTTCTTTTTTTTTTTTTTTTTTTTTTTTTTTTTTTTTTGCTGGATTCATTATTGGTGCAAATGTATAAAATATATCGAAACTGAAAAGAACACCATTTTTCCTGTATAAATTTCGATTTTAACACCCTTTTTTATTTTCGAGTTTATTAATTTTCATCTCTCAACAGCAAAGCGTTGGACTCAACGGTACCTCTTTAATCGAAAAATGATGTATGAGAAAAAAGGTAACGAAAAGTGGTCAATTTCATAAATCCTTTCATAAATACAACCATTCCCCACGACAAATTAAAGTCCAGGCTTTTTGATATCATTGACAGCTGCTTTTTTAATAATAATGGAATTCGTAAATTTAGTTACCTTGTCATTGGTCATTTGCAAAATTATTTTGTTAAAAAACATTCTGATTGTACACACAAGTACTCTGAAGTTGATATTAAAAAGATGCTTGAGTTTTTATTTTACAATTTTAATAAATCAGTACATAAAATTAATATGACAACCGAATTGATTCTTTGAATAATAATTAATATAACTGTATTCTGTATGCTTTTGATTGATAATGCACAATACTGAGCTATCATCTCTACCTTAACAAAACAATGAAGCACTGCATTTACACAATGGATGGGGGTCATTTTTATGGTCTCTGGGTGTTCTCCCCATTTTATAACAAATGTTTGCTCGTTTCTTGAATTAAAATACACACAACTAACATTTTGAAATCATGGAGAGATGACCCAGAGATACCAAATATTTAGAAAAACGTGTTTAAAAATTTAACATTTTGTACCAAATGACTCGTCTTGCCAATTTTCAAGATATATTTTAGTAAATCAAAACAATATCGAGAAAATATTTCCCTTTCCTATTTCACGGTAAGTCGATGCATAAAAAAGCTAAAATTTCATGTGACAGATGAATGAAATTTTCACTTTTCTAGTGCGCCCAGATTCCTGCCGAATACCAATCAAATGTGTCCTCGTTCTAAACGAATTTAAGTCGTTATAACAAATTTTGTATTCGTTATACAAAATTTAATTTGTTATAAGGAAATCAAAAAATTGTTATAACGAATTAAATTCGTATTTACAAATTCGACAACTCTTTATATCGAATTCAAAAAATATTTTTTGATAGGTCCTAAACGGACTTCCGTAAAATTGGCTTTAGGAGTCAATAGTTTTCCAAGCTATATAAGTCATTCATGACATTCTGTCTTGTGTTGGGATTGACCTTTATTCAAATAAATTTATTTGTAAATTGTAATAAATAATAAACAAATACCGATTTGGTTGATCAAATTTTTGGTAGGACAATGAAATTCCTTATATGTGGCGTCATACGAATTTGTGAAATGTTTTTGATGAACCACGCATAAGATAATGTTTGGATTGGTATTTGTGATTTCCAAATGTATTCATAGTTTATAATTATACCCAAAAAAAAAATCCTTAATTGAGTACAATCAAAATAGTTTGAAGCCATTTATATATTGCTCCGTTTTATAATATGAAATAGGCTTATAAATGCAATATTTTAGTTTTTACGTGTATGAAATACTCTCTCTCTCTCTCTCTCTCTCTCTCTCTCTCTCTCTCTCTCTCTCTCTCATAACAGAAAGTACAAAAAGAGAGCAAAATTCAGAACAAGTATACTTCGTGTGCTCAAAATACCCATAACTGTCATTTTTTACTATTAAGCACATTTTAGTATGTATTTTATAAAGATATAAAATTTGCAAGTTTAACCAACATTCCATGACCAATTTTTCTGAAATTCAGTCACTACCACATAAAAGCTGTATGTCTCCCCCGAACAATGCATTATGTAAATCTCGGCGACTGTTTTGACAATATGATTCTATTTCTATTAAGATGTTGAAATACTGTATGTCAACAATCAAATAAGATTCTCAATTCCTTTTATTCCAGAATTGAAGATATTTACGCCTTCTTCTTTCTTTAGGTTATATATATATATATATATATATATATATATATATATATATATATATATATATATATATATATATATATATATAATATATATATATATATATATATATATATATATATATATATATATATATATATATATATATATATATATATATCTTGGGGGGATCTGTCCATGGTATATGTGATTAACGAAATATTTAGCATCAAAATCACAAAATCACATTTAATTTTGTATAATAATGGAAGAATATGGATTGCTTCTAAAATTATTATTTAAAAAAAAAAAGGCAAATTTAAAATAAATTAGAAAAAATTTCTGATGAATTTAATAAGCAAATTCATAGTCGAATATCAACTCATCGAATGAAATATTCGAACATTCAAAAATTCTTTGACACCCCTAGCCTAGATACAAGAAATCAATTCAAAAAAAGCAGGGGGAAATTTCTTAATTTATAAATCAGATGGGTTTTTATTTCCAGATATGAAATTTTCTCTTACTGTTGAATTGTGACTTTTAACTCAACATTTTAAGAATAAATGGATTTTTAAAAAATATTTACTTTTAACGATTGAATGAAGTAAAAAAAAAAAATGAAAATAACAGAAAAGTTTCAAACATATTATTTACACTTAAATAAACATAACAAAAAAATGGATTTCTACGTTAGTCTTTTATTCTTTAATTATGATAATTCATTCCACAAAATTGACAAAGAGGTGTTTAATTTGAAAAGTAAACTACGGAGAAAATGAATCTTGAATATTTTTTGCTTTTTTCCAAAAACGCTTATAATATCACCTCTTACTAAAATAAAATAATGTAATGGGACAGAAAACAACGTAAATAATGTGCAAACGGGACTCAAAACCGCATATTCTTAATAAGAAATATTTAATTATCATGAAAAGTCATGAAGGTAGTATTTATATACATGTGATTTAATATTCATCGAATTTTTTCTACAACAAATTTGGTCATTTGTCTCTGATCGTAATTGTTTTAAAGACATTTTAAGACTTAATTAAATATTTGTACAAATTTCTTTACATATTTTTCGGGGGAGGGGGCTTTGTGAGAGAAATTGAACTTTAAAAAAAAAGGAAAAATAAAACTATTACAGAAAAAATTTTACAAACACAAAAGGACATATAAATGTAAAGAACAGCAAAGCCATGATTGGTCATATTTATATGGAAACATTCTTAGATGGTGTAGATTCAAGTTTGTTCAAATCATGACCCCCGGGGGCAGGGTGGGGCTATTATGGGGGATCAAAGTTTTACATAGAAATATAGTGAAAGGAAAAAGAAACGCAGGGTAAATTTATATTAAAAAGGGGGAGATGAACAGAGAGAAGAATATAATTGCTAAAAAAAAAAATGCATGTATAATGTTAATAAAGAATTTTTGCTTCTACCGACAAGTACAGGAATAGAGTTACTAAGTGAAAATTGTCTTCAGGTTTTATGACAACCAGTGAAACATATTGTCCTCTACAAAAATTTAGAATATTTCAATTTAATTGTGTAATTGACTTATACAAATTTAAATAAAATAAATTCTAAATTTTTGTAGATGACTATATAAAATTCTCATTGGTGTCCAAATCAACCTTGACTGTGGTGAATAATTAAATGATTTAAGTCATGGTTTTGATATGTTATACAAGCTCTTTATTTTGACATTTTTTGTGTATATTTTTTCCATATTTCAAAAAATACAAAACATATACATGATTTCTCAAAGTTAGTGAAATACATTTATGCTCAACTTATATTTCATTGTAAGGTGATTTTATTTATATGTACAGTTCTTTTTTTTCATATATATATATATATATATATATATATATATATATATATATATATATATATATATATATATATATATATATATATATATATATATATATATATATTATAACACCTGTGTAACACCTGTTGATCAATGTTTATAAACCAATGTTATACTTTTGTGGCAATATATGCAATGAATACGCCAATAAATATACTTCACTACTACTGTGTAAATTATTAACTATATTTGAAACTCACATTATGTTGTACTAACCCTGTCTGGGAAAAACAATTTATCAAATGTATAATGTGCATCGTAATCAAAAGTAAAAAAAAAAATATGATAAAATATGTCTTCTAGCCCACGGTCATGGTTTGAACAAAGGTTTGTGAACTAAAATCTCTTTTTGTGCACTTAATAACTGTCTTCAGAAAACGTCATCCTCACTCATTTTTTATAATGTTGATGTTTAAGATGCCAGATTTTTTTTTATATATCTGTAATTTGCTTTATCAGATTAAAAATCTTGATATTGATATACTTTTGTGCACAAATGTGATATCAACATGAGCAAGAAATCATTATAATTTGGCCTGTAATAAATGTGCTTAACTTTTTGGTGGATAATGATCCTTGTAATGCTTCATACCTGCATGGATTGACGCCTTTGTCAATGATATTTGACATACAGGTTATTCAGTTGCCAACAATTTGACCAACTTTACAACTTCGTGTTAAATAGTGTACAGTCATGTATTTGAATCAAGGGCAACCTTTACGCACTTGTACTAATTGAAGACCTATATAATATAAATGTAGTCTTATTTGTTTATATTCACCTGGATTTGTGACACCTGTTATCAAACGACAGGTGTTGACATTGATTAATTTGTTAATCACCTGAAAGAAAACAGGAAATATTTCACATTAATTCTCTAAATCATACGAGATATTGGCATGATTGTGGTAGTGACTGTCTTCGAAAATTTGACGAAATAAAAAGTATTACTCAAAATCAATGAATATTTTTCACATCTCACCTTATTAATTTTGAAATTTATTAATTAATAAAATATTTTACAAAAATACACATACAGACTAAAATCCAGTACGTAAGATAAAGGATATGAAAATATCTTATAACTGAGCCAGTTCTTCAAAAACCATTAATTTAACCACTTCATAGATAAATCTTTTTTTTTTTTTTTTTTTTTTTTTACTAAATCACGGCAATTGTGTTTCATTATTATAAAAGATTATCTACAAGTTACCGGATTTTGCTGATTTTCACAAAGTTCGCTTGAGTTACACGGATCTAAATAAATCTAAGTTACACTGTAAGTGATCCTATGTTTTTATCATCCCGGGACATTAAAAAAAAATATTCTCTAACACAAATTTCTGTGACTGAAAATTCTATTTAAAGTACCATGCAAATACAGAAAAAAAGGTTCAGCTTCTTGGAAAATCACAAACTGGATACGATCAAACAAATCACATGACAATTGACATCGATTTATTTAAAAAAAAACAAAAACCTATAGAAACAAAGTACTCAATAAGACACAGACAACGTTTTTCTCAGGTTGCTGTTTTTCACTCCAGAATGATACAATGCGTTACTCTTCTATACGCGTCCTGTAGGCAGTTTAGTTCACATTGTAGTTTGGACACCAAAGAATTCTCACACTGCTTACAGACGGACAACTTTCGGTTTGCGTTCTGCAGACATTCATACTGGAAAGCAAAGTCGTTACACTGTGCGCTTACCATGGCAAAAAGAGCAGCTATAATGATCCAACGAAGCTAAAATGTCAGAAAAATTACAAATATAAAAAATATATAATTTTACATATCTGAAAGCAGACGTTTATACTCGAGATAATAAAAATCATGTTAGCTGACAAAAACTACTCTTTTTCGTTATTCCTGTACATGAACTTAATATTCTTCATAGCACATTTGTCCAATATAACAAATCAAAATTCTTTGCAAAGTTCAAACCTTACCATCCTGGTATCAGTCCAAACAATCGGAACAATACACAGACAATAATACTCAATTTATATACGTTAATATCTGATTCAATTAACAAATGATGTGCTTACTTAGTGACAAATGTTACAATGAAACATATGGTCCACCTGCTGGGATTTGCAATCAGGTTTCAATCATATACTCGTTGTGTGCATGGATGGTGATTTGAAAGTCCGTCCAAATTAGAGACAAGTGTTACGAAGTAGCGAAGAGTATGTATGGCTGCTGGCAATACTGCATTTCATCGTCAATGGCATTCGAAAACATTCACAAAACATTCAGGTTTTCACAATCTAGCAACTGTTTTGGGGATTTTACCCAAAATTTCGGATGTGTGAAAATGTGGATTAGTCCGAGTTTCAGATTGTCTAAACAGTTTCTTGCCTTACTGATATTTTTATGTCTGACGTCAAAATTTCTAATTGTATTGAACATGTTTATGTTTACATTAAGTTTGCTTTGTAATGCGTATATGTTAGGGTTCTATATTTACACATATTTTCATACTCTTAAATCATATTATGTGATTGGATTTTGACAATGGATGAATAAGTATTTACTCTGACTTAAGTGACGAATAAGTCTTATTTACATCCACTAACTATATTCTTTATTTTTATCAAAACTTATTTCCGTTAATCAATCTATTAACTGTAAACTATTTAGTTCCGTTAAAACAGACACGTAGTTTCAAGGGGGGGGGGGGGCAGGGGGACTGCCCCCATGTTTTTCAAACATAACCTTTTACTCTTGAAAATGTTCACAAAAAGGCTTGTCCCCCTCCCCAACACTTCTGTTGCAGTATAGTCAAATCAGGGTTATGTGTTGATAAGACAATTTGATTGTGAAAGAAATTGGTACCCCCACCCCAGTACCACCACCAAATAGGATGTTCGAGTTTGAACAATTTTTCTTTTTTTCTGACTGCATCTCCCCCCTTTCAAAAACTATACATGTACGTGCCCGATAAAGCCATCTGTATGTTCATAGATTTCCCAATAAGTAGGCTCTTCCTTCAATGTAATGAACGGATAATGCAATATTTCACGTAACAAATATTTTGAAGATAATTCATCCCCATCCTTTATCCTATTTTCATCATCCATTCGGGGTAAAAACAAACGCACTGAATATTTAGTGTCATCATTTGTTTACTTTTTATGTATTATTTGTATTTAATGTACACTTTTGAAATAAAACGTTATATACTTTGAAATAAATACATTTTATACTTTAAAAATTCATGTGCGTTTTCCTTGAACTCCGTTTTAGAAATGCTTAAATTTTTTTTCGGCCGATAAGGCGATTTGATGCTTTGCGTCAATCTTAACTTGTTCTTTCTCACTTTGATCACCTCACTACTTATATAAGCCCTATCTAAATAAATTTTTAAAATGTTGAACACCTAAATTATAATCAACAAGGTTGTCAACTTGAATACATTTTCCTTTACTATAAATCAACATCCGCATCTATACCCATGCCCCTAGGAACGGGGGGGGGGTGCCCCCAATAATTTTGCCAATATATAGATAACTATAGAAAATATAGCTACTACTAGCTTGTGCCCCTCAATAAAAACGTCTGATGACCTTTTTTTCTTGTCATGGAATGTTTGGTAGTTGCTAGTCCCCCCCACTGAAATTGCTTCCTACGGGCCTTATACCACTTGCAAACCACTTACGAGGAGCAGATTCTTAAATACACCCCCTTCTCCTGTTTCTAGTGTGGGGAAAATTAATACCGAATTTTAAGATGCTTAGTGTCGTGTCTCTTGCAAGCAGCATTATTGTTCTCCACAAAAATTTAGAACGTTTCAATTTAAATTTGTATATGATAATTGTCATACACAAAGTTAAATTGAAAATTTCTAAATTTTTGTAGAGGACAATATTGCTAGTAACCTACTTCCTCTGTGGTATATCGATGTCCGACTTCTATTACAGCTTCCTCCAAAATTACCAGGTTTTGGTTATATATAGTGCCCATTGTCGGGTTTGGTCGAGCCAGAAAGTAAGAGGAATAGCAATTAGGACCACCATCCTCCATTTAAATAGGTTTTTGCCAAATTTGCTTTGAAAATACTGTAATGTGAGCAAAACGTTCATTTCCTTGGGGGCGCATGATGGCGGTATACCTTATTTACTTCCTGCGAATGATGCAAAAAATCACTTCAATCATTTTAAAAGGGAATTGCGACACCAGACCGCCATCATGCGCCCCCCCCCCCCCAAGGAATTTTTTTTTTTTACCCACCTTACAATTTTTTCAAGGCAAAGCGAATTTGGCAAAATCCTTCTATTTAGAAGGGGGGCCCAATTGGTTCGTGCCGGTTTTCCAATGCAACCCCCCCCCCCCCGCATTCTGGAGTCGACCCGAAGAACTGCAAGAGCGAATGTGGTTTCCAATTTAAAAGCAGATCCAATGCTATTTACTCATAATATATATATCAACATCACACATTTTTCTCAACAAATTTTTTACACTAAATTAAAATAAAATGCAACAACACAATTCAATTGCAAATGCAATGATACTATTCTCTACAATCTGAATTCAAATCCTTGAAAATAAAAAAAAAAGTTTTCTTCTGCAAGTTACTGACAAAAGTACTGCTTGGTATCCAGGTCTAAGTGGAGCTTGTATACTTGGCGACAGCTTTGGTTCCCTCCGACACGGCGTGTTTGGACAGTTCCCCTGGAAGCAGTAGGCGAACTGCCGTCTGGATATCACGACTGTTCATGGTCGGCCGGCGGCTATACTTCGCAAGTTTGGACGCTTCAGAGGCAATTCTTTCAAATATGTCGATGACAAACGAATTCATTATACCCATAGAGCGATTAGACATCGTAAGTTCGGGATGGACTTGCCTTAAAACTCGGAAGATGAAAACTTTGAAGGACTCCTTCCTTTTCGTAGTCCGTTTCTTTTTTGCCGATGTGGAATTTCCTGTGTTATTTGGTTTTGGTTTATTTGTTGCTGTGAGGATTATACTTCCAGATTTCTTTCCTTTTACAGGCATCTTCTCTTGTTCGTGAAAACGCTGAATAACATAAATACGCGCCAAATGCACATCATTTATATACCAGGAGCATGACGCTGTTGAAGTACACGATCCTTGATTGGTTGTTGGAATATAAAAATTACATCATCATAAAATATAGCTTAATTTACGCGCGAAACGACAGGAAACACAGCAAGGGCCACATAGTACAAAATAAAGGTGTTAATTCACACACCCCATCCAGGGCTACACACACACGCGAAACATAATTTTTTGCCCCCCCCCTTAAAAAAACTTGGTGGATATGCATATAAAGTCATTACAACATTACAACATTTTCTAAATATTTAAGTACACCTAAATATGTGTATGTAATTGTTAACAAAATAATACATACAAAAAATTGACACTTCGTGTATTGTAATATTTAGTACTTTTGCATCGCCACATAGTATCTTTTGCAATGCGGGGATTGTAGAATCTCCCCACTTTGCACTAGGATACACGGTACCTAGTACTATTTCATTTATCAACATTACTTACACTTATATACAGTGTCAAATTGTACAATATACAAAGACATGTACTGTAGATTATTTAGTATACACGTTTGTAATTGTAGAAATCATGCTTGTTGTTTGTGATGCCTGAAAGGGCCTGATTTGGAAATAAAGAATCTATCTAATCTATCTATGCAATCGTCCAATCCCTGGGGTATAAATGTAAATAATAGGAGGGGGTTCCTGCCCCACGAGCACCTGTCATTTTTTTTTTCAAGTGATATTGCAACCTTTCATCTCGTTTAAACGTTATACTTTACAGGCGCGGATCCAGGAATTTTTTTTCAAGGGGGGGAGGGGGCACCCCAGTCGGAAAAAATTTCCAGCCCAGAAAATTTCCTGACAAGAAAAAAAAAGGAAAAGAAAAAAAAACTCCTTCCGAAACTTATCAAACCCAAAAAAATTCCTGACAAGCCAACAAAAGGTAATATCCCTTTCCCAAACGTGAAAAAACCCATTTCGTGATGGTGTTGGTGGTGGGGTCCACGTTTTCCAGGGGGGGGGGGGGGGTCCAAAGTCATTTTTGATTTGCTTCAGTATATACTTTAAATAACTCTGCAAATTCGGGGGGGGGGGGGGGCGGACCACCCCTCTCGACCCCCTCTAGATCCGCGCATGCTTTAGGAGCTTTGAACTATTTTTGTTTTTCAAAAATCTAACTGCATCAACAAAATCATAAAGAAGTACGCACGCTAACTCTAGATTCCTGTCTGCATTTTACACACATTTAATTCAACATTTATGACAATATAGCCATTAATCAAAACTTTTTTCAATTCAAAGAAGAGTTCAAATAATTAATTGGATAATAATTTCAATACCAGTGTCAAATACTGAGTAGTTAATTGCCCATAATTACAACTCTCTTTTTTTAGGGGGAAGAAAATATTATCCATTGAAATAAGACTTATAAGCTAATTAAGAGAATTTGTGTCCCACACTTAAGAAAATCAGAAAAGGGTGGAAGAACTGAAAAAATAAGCAGATGGACAGAGAAAAAAGGGGTTAGCCTTGACTTTTCGGCTTTGGCCTTAAAGTCGATAGTTTTTTTTTTTGTTTTTGTTTTTTTGTAGACAATGAAAGAAATTCATGACCTTAAGTTTTATTGCAAAACCTTTCTAAAAACCACAGGCACTTGTTTCGGTAATAATTTTTTTTAACCCATAGTCAGATAGTATAATAATAAGTTAACACAGTGATTTTTAAGTCCTATTGACTAGTTTTAAAACTTCATTGCAAAACCTCAAAAAGAATTGAGTTATTTATGAGGAAATCATTTTATGCAAGTTATGAATTTTGACCTTGACCTTTTGACCTAAAAATCAAAAGGGGCCTACTCTTAGTCATTGAGAGTTATGATAAAAATATGTCACAGAAAAAGTTTTTTTGAGTCACAAGGAGATATGATGTATAACTTCATTGATAAAGCTCAAAGAGAACTAAAGTTATCAACTGGAAACCATTTTTTGCAATTTATGAATTTCTGACCTAAAAATAAACATGGGTTGTGATATAAAATTTCATTGCAAAAACAAAGGCCATTTGAGATATCATCCAGAAATGAAAGGTTTACACACAGATAGAATGTATGAAATGCTTAACTTGATCTTTGACCTCAAAATGACAAAATCAATAGGGGTCCACTTTAGGCCATAGGTTGATATAAGATTTCATTAAAATATCTCAAAGATTTTTTAAAGATATCATCCAGAAATGAAAATATTACACACAGACAGAATGTTTGAATTTCTGACTTTGATCTCTGACCTTTTGAGCCATAGAGAGTTGTGATAGGAATTTTTTGGTGAGAAAAGCCCAAAGAAAACTACAGTTATCATCTGGAAAATGTTATTTTTTAAATGTGCATGTATGAATTTTAACCTTTGACCTCAAAATCAATAGGGACCTTTTTTACTGATTTGTTGCATAATCATTTTTTTAATGAGTTCACCAAAAAAATCAACTGAGACACTGGAATTTGCAAAAATAAAACTAAATCTAAAAAATCATTTTTTATTTAAAAATATATTTGTACAAAACATGGATGAAATCTGAGTAAACTTGGCACTATGTGTCTTCCACATCCTCCTTGTTGTCAGAAATTATCACAGATTTTTGTTTATACTTAAGTTCCATTTCCTCACAGTTCACACTCTTTATAATGTCATCCACAAGTGTTTTATTGGAGGAGAAGAATTTTTCCAGATCCTCTTCATTGGATTTAACGATCTGTTTTCTCAGGAATTCCACTTCTCTGGATAGGAGTTGTCTGTCTCGTAACAATGCACTGTGCTGGGCCAGCAGATCTAATATCTTTTGATTAAAGTAAAAAAAAAGACATTAGCAAATAAGTTTCAGGTAAACACACAACTCTAGTTACATAAACAATTGAACTTTGTTATCTTGAACATTGATATCCTGTATACAATGGATATGTGGGAGAGTTGGAAGGTCTGACCACTTTTTCTTTTTCAATTTTTAAAACTCTATGATTCTAAAAGTGTCATGTGAAACAATGCAATGTTAATATAGACATTTCAGTTTTGACTGGTGAGAGGGGCAAATGTGTGCAAAGGGAGACAACTTGATTACTGAAATGATCTAAAGCAAACTATGCTTGTGTTCAGTTCTCCGTCTTTACAAGAAAACATGTTGTAAGATAATTTAAGAAGAAATACTTATTAAATATTTACCTGTTGTCCTTGCTCCTGAGCAAGTTCATCCATCTTTTTCAGTCTGTCTTTCATTTTCTCATGCACTCTGCCATGTTGATCTGCTTGGTTGTCAAGATCTTCCAACCGTGTTACTGCCCTCTCGAGGCGTAATTTCAGCTCTTCATTCTGTCTGCGTAGTTGACCATTTTCATTCCTACGAAAATAAAAACAAGCAATTAATCTAAAGATCATGGTAGACAGAATAAATTTTTCCTAGTAGCAAACCAGCTTTTATCTAGGATTGTTGATTTTATGTCCAATATAGTATTCACTTTAAGTACAACAAAACATTTACGTTTTTACAATACAGTGTAATATATACATGTACATGATGTAAATCATCACAAAAATGTTGACTTTCCAAAATTAAATGTAGATTAGTAAACCTGTTTCTTTTTGTGAGTTTTTCTATCTGTCCTGCTTGTCGTCTACATTCATCGCGTAGTTTGCCCAAAAGACGATTCTGTTTCTTCAGCATGACATCCATTTCCTGTGCTGTCCTCTCTATCAAAATATGAAATATTTACTAAAATATAAAACAGATAAATGTACTGCTATCTTATATTATGTTTTAATGTTTACCACAAATAAAAACCTAAAAACTTAATAAGCCAATAAAATTCTGTAAAAGCTAATTTATAGTACATTACTGATGTGATTAGTGACCTTGACCTTAACTATGACCTTGTTGTCTCCTACATCAATAAGCATTACATTACCATGCTTGTCCCCTATGTCCTCTATAAAACTGTTCAGCTCTTCCTCTCTCATTTGAGCTCTCTTGGTCATGGCTTTCAAATCCTCATTTCTACCCTTCTCTACACTCTCTTTGGCCAATTTCGCTAAGTGTAGCTTCAAACGAATGGGAAAACATTAATTATCAGAATATAGTAAATCATGACTGTAGTCTATATACTGTAAATCACTGTTTATTCGCGAGAACTTTATTTTCACGTAATTACGCAAGACGGTCTGCTCACCAAAATTTCGTTCTCACGTTTATTTTATTAGTATAGAATTATATACACCAATAACCTGAATTCGTGAAAATTTTGTCTCGCTTATAAATACCAAATACCTTTCTCGCAAAAATAAGGTGTCGCAAAAATTTTGTGATCTACAGTAAAAGGATAGATAAAATCCTTCTTTATTATAAAATCACTCTTATACTTCAAGATGAAATACATAATAAATGCTCTAATGAGTAATTTTGCTTTTTTTCAGGAAGTTTAAAATAACCCTGTTATACATGTATGATGTCCTTTAACTGCATTCATAAATGCTTAAAGTATCTATCTTTTTGCTGTATCATGTCACATCAGTTCTAAAAATCACATCACATATACATGTTACACATAGTATTCTACTATACTAATATACCCTCATGTTTCCACTGTGGGATTAATAATGATAAAAAATACATTTTTGACAATGTTTGGTAACCAAAGCTGATGATAATTGTATTATAATCGAGTAATATCAGGGTTATAACTTTTCTTTAAAAAACACACACACACACATTCAAAAAATTGCATCGACTTTTTTAAAAAAAACCTTATACATGTACCTCTCTCTCTAAAGCCTGTGTATTTGTTGTTAAATGAATACACTCTTCTTTACTGTTTACAAGTCCCCTCTCAGCTTTGTGTAATCTTCGTTTCAATGCTTCAAGCTCCATCTCTAGTTTACTTTTATCCTGTAAATGTTATGTACAAAATCCATTAAATTTGATGCAGGAAATTATAGTGTTTATCTCTACACAAAATTTCCATTTGGTAAAGCTTGAGGAGCAATATAAGCTTTTTTTCAATAACTGAAATATTTAAAATGAATTTACTTGGTCCCTCTCTCTCTTTGTAATTTCCAGATCTTTCCTGAGATGGTTGACTTCCTGAGATGCATGGCTCTTCTGTATGGAGGCGTGGGTTGATTCTGTGCGATATGTTTCTGCTGCCTGCATTAGAAAGTGTTGATTCTTACATTTTCATCATTAAAAAAAAATACCATCATACATAAATCTTGTAACTTAAGAAAATAGATATAAAATGTTTATCTAAATCAAGAACAAGTTTACTTTGATTCTCAACTGAAAATATGAAAATGGTGAAGTGGAAGCCATACTTGAATATGGACAGAACCTATAAAGTCAAACTTGCATAACTTAAATATATTTGAAACATAAGTTTTTAAACAATGTACTCTTACCATGGAAGCCTCTTTGTCAAATCTGCGAAGCTGAATCTTCATCTCATCTATTTCATTGATGTAAGCGACTTTTTCACGAGACAGCTTGTCAACTTGTGCAGAGGCTGCTGCATACTGGTCAGTCATTTCCTTCAACTGTTAAAGAGGACTTATATATGATAAAGGATAGCGGAACTGTGTAGAGGAAATATAACTGTAATCAAGTTGTGAATTGAAAAATCACTGAATAACTTATTTGATAATTGTAAATATATCTACATCGATAAAATATTTATTTTTTGCTCAAATACAAGCACGTGAGATTGGATGCTCATGAGAAAAATAAGCAATCTAACAAACACCTGTGAATTTTAGTCTTATAACAATAACATTTTCCATTAAACTTGTTTCCTTTAACTATTAAGTTGCAGGTATATGCAAACAGTTTATTAAGAATCTACCAAGATACATTTCTCGCTTATAGATCTCGGTAGATAAAATTTTAAACGCATGGTGATTTTTTTCAAGATCAGAACGTACAAAATAACACAGAATTGAACTTTGACCTTCAGAGACTGCCCACCTTTTTGTTTATGGTGTCAATCATCATCTGACTTTCTCTTCGAACACTCTCCCTCTCCTCCAGTAGGCGGGCCTGAGTGTCCAGGATGTACGAATCAAATCTCTTCTTCATATTATTGAGTTCCTCTGATAGCTGCTCTTTCTGAACTAAAGCCTGTGAAATACATATTATTTTTCTATTTTTTTTTCTGAAATTTATCTGAATTTTGAAATCTCGTCATGACCAGATTTTTACATGTTGGAGGTTGGCAAGTATGATCTCCTACAATTCTTATTAGCATCAAAATTGGTAATTTGGATATTTCTCCCTAACTAATTCTATTTCTTTGCAGAATAAGTACTAGGACATTTGTAAATACATGTCTATTTAGGCACTGGTTTTTTTTCCTATTTCATGGTGCTAGAAATTATTTACAGGTACATGGATATGCAGACTAATAGATAATGTGTGATGAAAAACTGAATGAATACCTGTGTGATTTCAAGCAAATAATTAAAGTGCAAAAAATCATTCAAATCCTATATTTAAAATTATTCTCTACTGTTTAAAAGCTACAATAGATTCCTTATTAAATGTGATGAATTTATAATCACATAATTTTGCAACAAAAACACCTCGCAAAATAAAATTACTCATTCTTATTTTTATATTGCTGAAGTACATGTAAGAACTCTAAATTAAGAGTCCTATCGTGAATTCGAGTTCTTGTGATTTAACATCTACAAGTCTTTTCGCAATAAAGTTTTCACTTAAAAGAAGAAATCTACAGCGTCTATTTATATACTTTCTGAAACAGGTAATCCATGTGAAATCACTGTATATTTCACTTTGAAGTTTAATTGTATTGATGTACATGACATTCTCATAAAATAGAAAGAGTTTAATAGCAAAAAAGTGGAATGTTAATATCTACTTGTATATGAGAAAATCAATATATTTATCAAGAGAGTAATGAATATGCATGTACACGGAGTGTATGTTGCTGTAAATAACTTAGCAAACAATTAGACCCATTCTGGCTATTTCATATTTCATTGATTCAAAATACGATCTAAAAATACATGTAATTAAACTTGCAGTTATATAGAACATTTTTTACTTGGGTCTGCTCCAGCTGAGCCTGCTCCACCATTTCTATTCCTTTCTTTGTTTGCTGGTACGCCTCCTCCTCCCTTTGGGCTAGTTTCTGGACGTTGGATTTTAGACTGGTCACATGTTCCATTAATTCATCTCTTTCTCTACAGAGCAGAAGATAAAAGGATCAAAATTAATAGGCATGGAATTAAGCAGATGGCTGTCTTATTTTTGTAAATAATACTTGTATGTGCATGTCTGACTTACTTTTTACAATAATCAATGATTTAATATAACATTTCCCCTTGGTTTATACTTTGATGTTGAGAAATCAATGTTTATATATATATTTATTCATATTGCTAATTGTGTATATTTATAACTTATCCATAGACAATGACTTGGAGAATCTTCCGAGTACATGCAGTTTTAATCATACTGAAGAGCATTAATCTAAAATATTTGTTGCTGAGTATTAATCTCACAATATTTTTGCTTAATTACCCATCTTCCAATCATGGGGAAAATACACAGGTAAGAATGCTCTTTTTTATTTAATCATACCTAGTTAATTTATCAATTGTGATTTGGAGGTAGTTGCGTTGTTTTTCGGAGACAAATTCCCCATTTTCTCGAGTTGGAATACTGTCATGCATTCGCAGCTGAGATCTTAGATCCTCCACCATTTGCTCATACTTTTGGATCTCTGACCTGAAGAAAATAAAGTGCAACATTCAAAGCATGTAAGAAAAAAAATAAACTGAAAACTACAATGATACAGATTAAAAATTTGCTTTGCCCTGTACAGAAAATGGTATTTATGGAATGTGACAAAAACTTTTTAATTTTATTCATTTATTTTTTTTTTTTTTGGCAATTTTGGAAGATTGATAGTTGCTGAACGTCATTTTCTTGAAGTAAAATTATTTCAAAAGCAATAATCTGCAGTGATAAAGAGCATTTGTGAAGATCACATCACAAAAATATCAAACATTTTCAATGCTTACTTTTAATAATAGAAATATTACCTTGAATGTTCCTGCTGAGTCTCGAGTCTACTGACTCTTGCTGAATGAAGTGAACTAAGCCTCTCCTGAAAGCAAAAATATAATACACACTTCACACATTATTTCTGCTCAAAAAAGATAAAATATTTTAATATTTATCCCCAGCACTTCTCTTCAAAATTTAGAGCAATTAAATGAACTTCTACAATTACCAGTTCTACTTGGAGATGTTTGAGTTCTCTTGTGTGGAAGATGTGATCAGACTTATCTGCTAAGAAGAAATTCTCAACCTGAAGAGGGAAAAAACATTTAAAACTTTAAAATTGATTTAAAAAAAAAAAAACAAAAACTGACGCAACAAAGATATGCTGAAACATTGCTAGAATTGGCACAAGGACAATTAGTTCCTTGTGATTGGTTCAATACATTATATTCTGACTACCTTCTGATTGGTTCCCTGTATTCTGACTACCTTCTGATTGGTTCATTGTATTCTGACTAACTTCTGATTGGTTCATTGTACTCTGACTACCTTCTGATTGGTTGGTTACATTCTGACTACCTTCTGATTGGTTCATTATATCCTGACTACCTTCTAATTGGTTCATTATATTCTGACTACTCTCACCTCTGAGGCTTCCATATTGATATTCTCACCAACAACTTCTTGTAGGATACTTGTTTTCAACTCTTCATGCAATCTTTTGTTTTCCTCTATAATCTCTGATAATTTTGCTCGAAGATTTGCTAATTCATCCTGCAGAAAGAGTTAATGTCTTTTATACATTATGATATGTGACTTGCCAGAAAAAAAAAAGATGAAGAAACATGCTGACTTTTCAACATCAAAGTCAATTTTATACATTAAAAAACATTGTTTTAGAAAATAAAATAATATAATAGATTTAACTGAAGGTTGATGCTTCTTTACACTTCTATGACAGTAATTGTTCACAGGGAATATTTTACATTAGGTTTCCTTCATGACCTTTTTTAAAGATATATAAAGTAGTGGTACAATTTGAAAATATGAAAATAATTTTTTTAAAAAGTTGTAAACCTAATATTTATTCCTGTATGTACAAAGAGGTGTGTTGTTCAGAGAATATCAATTAGACTTCAAATGGTTCTATTGCTAATATTAATTGGCATCAAATAGTTTAACACTGAAATGATTGCTTAATGATGGGTTGCTAGTAGGGCTGGGTATTGGCTAGAGATTTCGTATTGCTATATATTGCGATATTTTTAACTGTATTGCGATATGTATTGCATTTTTTTCAACGCCAATTAAAATGGCATTTTTTTATTTCATTATCTTCCATTTACATGCAGAATGTGCATAACTGTGCTAAATGACCAGGAAAAAAATTATCTTGTTGATTTAATTACATTTATGCATCGAAAACACCAATACAACAGCTTTTGCCATACCATTTGCTACGATCGCAAACGTTTCTGACAACTTATACTGCATATTTTTTTATAGAAAACCTGAGCCCAAACATTTTGCCGATATATCGGTACTACAAAAATGTATTGCAATACGATATTTTTTCCCATTATACATGTACCGCAATATATCGGAATATTGGTATTATTGCCCAGCCCTAGTTGCTAGAGTTAAAGTAACAATGTGTATGCCAAGAATATTCCAGGACTATGGAATGGTCTTTAATGGATCTCATTAACCTTCACTTACAATCATCTCCATAAAAAATTTAATTTAATCCATGTTTAGTATCATCATATTAAGATCAACCCACAGTTAATGCAAACAAAACTTGAATTTTCTGCATATTAATGCTTTATTAACCATTGACAATTGAGAGTGAACTGACTTTAATGTAGCGGTTCTCTGCCTCCAGCTGTTGACAGTATCCAGTCTGAGCCTGTATCACAGCTGCTGCCTCCTCCAGAGAGGGAACGCTACTGTCTGAGGGTCGTGATGGAGGGGGAATCTGTCATTATAAGTACAATTTTAACTTAATTGATATTTTATAATGATATCTAATAAATATATATATAATAATATATAATGGAAAGATTGATATTCTTTTATGTTCTTAACTTAATTACTATAGCTGTCTCATTGTCATGAACATTTAATGTTAATTAAATAGCAATCAAAGCATTCATATACTTTTTTATTCAAATATATAGACTGATGTTTTATATATCAGTATTCACATATTTTGATATGAAAGCTTTTTAAAAAACCATGTGACTTTTTCTTTTTAAGCAGGCTTGTAGTTCATTTAATAATGGACAATAACAATTTTCCTTTGTATGTATTTAATTAACATAATGATTTATTTCTTATAGAGGACCTTATAAATAGTAAGTAATGTTTAAGTTAAAAACATATTTCAATACTTTGTGCCCTGAATTTATTGACAGATTGCTAAATGGAAATTTCCTTTGATAAATTGATAATAAAATCTTTATCTAAGGGATATATTTATACAAACAAGTGTTTCAAATTCATCATAAAAATTTAGTTGGTCCTTTAACTTTGAAAATTTTTTTTAATAATTTCTAGTACTGGACAATTAAGTCAAATACATCTATAACTCAGTTACAATTCCTATATCCAGAAAAATTACTTCAAACTTCCCTGGCCCATCAAAAAGAGGATAATATTAAAATTAATAATATGAATATTAGTTACATTTCTTTAATTTCATCCCCTTGTATTTCATATTGGTATGAAATACATAGAGGAAATTCAGTATGATTTATAACTGGATATGGAAATTTCATACAAAAAAGTCCTGTATCACGAGTGAAATAATTTCCATATCCAACTACAAAACACTGAATTTTTTATTTATTATATTTTCTTTTCTTTTTCTTTTGCCTATCTTTTCAGGCATTGTTGTAGGCTAGCAGTGACAACATTCAGCCGAGTAGTTATGCGATGTTATATCTATGGCGACTGCAAGAATGAAAACTGCTAAACTATCACTTTTATTCAAGGGATAAATAACATACAGTAATTCATTGTTGAAAATGTCATAAATAGTATAATTGCACTTGAATTTTTTTTAATTTCAAACATACTTGTGAATCTTGGCTGAGCATAGCATTGAGCTTTGAGACTGCATGCTTATATTTCTGTGGCCGAGCATTTTCCTCATACCACTTCAATGTGCGAGGATTCACGGTGGCCTGAAGCTGGATCTTTGCTTTAGTTGTCTCTGCTCTATGTTTGCCAGTAGACGTCCCCAACAACACATCCTCAAGTTCGTGCAAACTAGCATTTGCTCGCTCTGAAATTCAGAAAATAATATTTAAGATTAATAGTCTAATTTCATTATCAAACTGATAACATACAAATCTTGTATTAAAAAAATTTGGAAAGTAAATGCATATTACCAAATTAAACAATGCATATTCTGCACTATATAAGTCATTCATTTGATCATATATATTATAATATATACACTAAGTGACTTGTCCAAACATGTTTGTAATAAAGTTCCTTACAATTGTTGTGCATTTCATTTTAATGCAATTAAAATAAAAGCAAAACAAAGAACTGTATAAATGACATTAAAAATGGTTGGAATAAAAGTAGGGAGGTGTTCTTGAAGAATTATCAGGAAATGTCAACACCCCCCTCCTTTTGTGTTTTGCAGTCAATGTAACTAACGATTCTTTCGGAAGGAACAAAAGATAACATAAAAACACCAGAGAATAAAAATACCTCTGACTGATCTCTGATATTTATCTACAGCATCACCGTGTTCTTCATATGAATACATTTTATGATTTTATCCTCCGTGTAAAACACATTTGAAGAGAGTTCATAACCGGAAGTTTACATTCTCCAAGAATAACGCACACTCTTCAGATAGACTTCCGGTAAATGATGAGCTCATCCATCCGAAGAGATAATGATATGAATTAATAATCATATGGGTTACAAACATCAGAATTGTCCACAAAGATGAGTGCAGATACTTGCAAAGTTGTCATGTACAGTTAGACCAAGAAATGGATGGCGGACAGAAGGTCATGGTAAGATAAAAGCATGGTCATCTTGGGAAACTCGTGATATCGTGGACAATGTCCCAAAAATTCGTCTGCTCTATCTGATAAAAAAAAATGATTTTCTGATTGATTTAAGTGTGGTTCAAAACATATTTTTGAAGATATTGTCATATAAAACTCACCCAAAGAAAACATTGAAATTGATTTTATTTCTAATATCTATTCAAGTAATGAATATGATAATGAAGCCTGTACATTTATACATGTGCTGTACATACTTATCCCCCCTGAGAATCAAGCTGATGGGCCAGTCTCTTCAAATTTTAAGTTGTCTTTATCTGATATAAAAGGCTGTTTACTTTCATCTTTGTAATGGTTTTTATGTGGTAACTGGTAAGTTGTACACAAAATAAGCAAATATATGCATTCTTAAGAATGTAAAATATGTTATTTTATATATGTATATTACGTACATATTGCAAGAGTCCATGGAAGATTGAGGTCTTTAAAGTGGTGACAGAGGTGTAAGGTTCCATGCAGTGTGATTAAAATCAAACCACCCACTAGCTCTTTTATTCTGATGTTCGAATGGAAGGACCTTCCATGCTACCATCGAAGTAAAGGAACGTAGTGGAAGGTCTGATTTTAATCAGACTGGGTTCCATGCTCAAATCTGGGACACTATAGCTAATCAGTAAATCCCAAAAAAGGGAGATTTTTATACATGTACAATGTATATTGTCAAGATAGATGTCCTTTAATTTAGTCTCATAAGCAGTATTGGTTCTTATTAATGCTAGAACAAGGGGAACTTTTTATTTTGAATATTTAATTACTCTGCCTCAACTTCATGCACATAGAAACAACTTTAAAGTACTAGTTGCAATGTTTAAATTGAATCCACCACAAATCACCCATGTCAGAAGCTGAAAATATGAACTCATTGGGCTCCGGCCAGCTTACATCTAAATTTGGGGAAAGGACCATGTCCAATTGTAAGTAGGGAAAGTTACAGTCAAAATTGGGAATCTTAAAAGAAATGAAAATTATTAGTATTACAAATACAAGTTTGACCTTAAAATTAAAAATGTTAAAATATATTTAATGGAGAGACTTGTGGTGCTTTAGACTTGTTTTGATGGCTAAATAGCTAGGAAATATTTTTTTATCTATTGTTTTAAACCATTTTAAGCAAATTAAACAGAAATCCAACAAGGACAGAAATAAACATCTTTTGTTGTTTTGAAAAAAAAGCATCTTATTTTGTATTTGAATATGGCTGACTATCAGCCTCCCTTTTACAGAATCCTCCACCAGAATTGAGAACTTTTATCCTCTCTCTCTCTCTCTCTCTCTGAATGTAGAAAGCTAGCAAAATTTATTTTGTTTTACTGTTTAATCTTAAAAGATCCTATGAACATTTGTTGAAAGCATTAGCGCAGAAGCAATAGAAAAGAATTATCCATACATATTCTAGCAATTCCAGTGATATTGTTATAATGTTATAACCATTGAACTTGTTGAAGTTATTGGGACCGAAACCAATCCCTGTTATGCTACTTTCATAGCAAGTAAATTAACTGTAACAGTAAGCCTTTAAGGGTACTAGATTTGCATGAAGAGTGCATACATATATTATAGTGATTATAGTATATTCATACTGTCAATTCAGATTCTTATTATGACCCTGGTCTTCCATATTTTTTTTTTAAAGTGAGCAAATTGAAATTTAGAGAGTTAGGTCCATTCCTTAATTAGCATCTGTTAGCCTACCCAGACTAATTTTGCATGGATGATGCATGTACATCTCTGACTCTATCTTCTCAATCATGCTTTGGGTGCTTCAAGTAACATATAATTTATTTAATCAGTTTATGAGGTTGAAGTTTTGGGTGCAAGTTAGTTAAGAAGTAGAAGTCCTTCATATTGACCAAAACTTGCATGAGTGGGATAGTCTTTCATACAACATAAATTATTGGAGCAAAGTAGAAAGATTATGTTTTGGAAGCAGGAACATTTCTTCCCAAGTTACTACTGTTATTTACAAGTCATTGACCTGACTTGCAAAGCTTGCATACAAGGATCGTGACATATGCCTAAGTTAAGTGTACTTACATAATAGGAATTCAAACGAAGGAGTTTTGACGCTTGCAATTCAGGTAGTAACCATTACCAACTAGTACATGATAGGTTCTTTTTAATACAGAAATTTTTTTTGGCATTTTTTTTAAATAGGCATAAAAATCTATGGACTATAGAGTTCTATGAAGGAATTTTATGAATCAAAATTAAGTTTGTGATTGGTTAAATGTGTGGGAACTGAAAAAGTCATGATTCCTACTTCTTGTGTTTTGAAAGTATGAATTCTCTTTAAAATTAACTTTAGATTATAAGTTGATAAGACCTTGTCAGATATGTCATTATGTTTTCAAAGGGGTTTTACATGTCCGTTTCAAATGTTTAAAGGAATTGTGTGCTTTTGTTGAATGTTTGCTTTGTATTTGTTTAAATACAATTTGTACAAGGTTTTTTCAATGTAAACTTGGCCGTTTAAATCAAATTCAATAGGTGTAGACATTGTACTTAGAACAGCATTTTAGAAGGTCTAGTGTTAAAAGATGGGGATGTATACACCTTTAGTGGTGTTCTGTGCATATCATGGACGTCCGAACCCGACAGAGTGGATTCTTCTGGCAGAATGAAGTAGGTCTTCGTGAATTTCTGCTCGGCCTTGAAATGGTAAGATCGAGGGACTAGACAGATTGTTCATGACGCATGTTTGTCAAACATGATTTTTTTTTTTTGTAAGACTGTTGTACAGATAGAAGACCAGAATTTTTCCTTAACTACTTGAATATTTTATTCCTGGTTGGGAAAACATACCTTAGAGAGACTTTTGTTTCAGGGGGAATGTGACTTGGTTTTGTTCTTATCTTTTGTTGATATAGAAACAATTATGAAAGGAGTATACATCTTTGTAAGTGGAATTTCTTAATTTGATAGCTGCATGCACCTGCTTAATTGATACATAGATTGTTATATGCAGAAATATTAGGAGACATACTGGTATTTGGTTGACATTCATGTTGGAAAGGAATTTTCATTTAATAAGTAACCATTGGGCAAATCCTGTTTTCAAGTTAATTTAAAAGTGAATTTTCTTAACATTGATTACAACAAATCTTCACTTCATTTGTAGCAAGGGGCTACCAACCCACACACTCGTTAATATTTGTATATGTATTTTTTTTATTTATATAATGCTAACGCCAGTAGCACTTTCAATCCTGTAAAAAAAATTTTGATTACACCTCTGTTACCAATGCTAATCAAAACCTTGCAAGAGAAACATTTTTGGGGCACTTTAAGGACTGACATAGCGATTCCACTCCATGTCCAGTCATTATGTTGACTGTGATATGAAAACATGTCTTAAATCTTTACAGATTTCCTTATTATCCTGTTAGATAATGGCTGACTCATTGTTTAGGTCCAATATCCCATATCTATGTGGACAGTGGAATAACTATATGGTAAAAGAAATTTTTATTTAAAAAAAAATATTTTGTGTGTTTTTGACTTGATCAAGGCTATTACAGGTATATTCATGTACTTTTTGTTATCTTTGCAATCACTGCAGTGGATAACAATATAAAAATATTTGATATTGATATTTAAAGGACTGTATTTTAAATGAATGATTGTTAGACTAGTTATGTCTGGTTTATTTTTTTTTTTTTTTTTAAGATTAAATATATAATTAAAACTTAAATGTGTAAAAAATTAAATTAATTGATGACAAAAGATTTCCACAGATCAAAGTTTATTGATACAGATCTTGTGGATAAATACTGCATCTTTGTTACAATTAATGTAAAAGGAACAGAGTCCTTTACAAAGTAGCCAGTAATTGGCTGCAAGAGAAAATCTTGCAATATTTACCCACAAGTAATATTTAAAATATAGGTAAACCATAAATAAGGCATTGATATCGCTTCTAAAGTCCCCTCTCAAGCCATTAGTAGTGCTTGATATGTCATCCAACCAATATGTAAAGACCCGTAAATGGACTGAGAGATAAGACTGATCCATGCATGTAATTCCTTTCAATTGATAATTAGAAATGGTTTTAGCTTATCATATCTTGTTTTTGAGTTATTACCTCAAGTGGCAGGAGGGATAGGGATAAGCAAATCTGTACAAATTGAATATTACCCTGAGGACAGAGAGAGGTCAATATAGTATTGTGTTCTGCCCCATCCCAAGGGCAGAGTTTCTCTGAGGGGCCAGGGATCTGCCTGGGCCAGTTATTTTGGACATAAATTATCAGATTTGTTAGTACTAGGCTACTGCCATAAGTTGACAGTTTGTGTGTGCCAGTAATTTGTGTTAAGGAGCCTGTAACAATATTAGCTTGGTCAATACGACTCTTGAGGACTGTCGTTATTTTTCCAAGTTATTTGGAAAGTTTGTCCTGCCGTTTTCCTTTCCTTGGTATTTACTTTTCTCTGAATTGTGGATGCCAGAAATTGTGGGACATAAAAACACTGCTGTTTTTCATTGTGAAGGCATGAATAGTGGACAAATAATTGCGTTTTCATCACACCCCTGAATCTGCAGTGGGATATGTATGCAGTCTACCCTAGCTTTGTATTAGACATAGATAACTTCTGTAAACCTTAATTCAGGTTTTTATTAAAATTCTTCAAGGAAGAATGTGATCATACCTGTATGTGTGGAAATACATCTCCTGTATTTATGAAAAGAGGTTTGAAATTGACGGGATTAATAATTATGTAGATTAATATATGCATTATGTGGTGTGAACATGAATACTATAAAAGAATGAGATCTAGCTTTACCATGGAAAAAACTGTTTCAAAGGCATACACATTGATTACAAAGTTACAGAAAAAGTATGGATTTAAGACCAAAGGATTCATCATTCCCCCAGAGAGAAACAACAATAGGGCAAGTAAATGTATTGTGGTGTGATGTGTCATTTGGTTGAAACCTTTTTATGAATGAATGGTTCATTATCAGATGTGTAATTTGTTAAAAAGCTTATGAAGTTGACACTGGCTGATCTAACGATAACATTGGAAACATTCTATGACTATAGAGTCTGTGTTGGTTGATTGTCTTTGGTACTTAGATCAGTGGGTGGGTGGGGAAAAGAAACGGTTAACTTAAATAAAATGCTGAGTCTTACTTTTATAAATTTACTAAGAGAAAAGTGAAGAAGAAAAAAATTCTTATTCTTGATTGGGCTAGCGCTAATCAATTGAAAAGTATATTTGCGCAAAATTATGAGTGTGCTTATGTAAATATGTTCACAGTATACATCAAGTTGCTTTACCATAGTTTCAAAATGAAGAAATAAATGATTATACAAAGAAATGTTCCCAGCTCTAGTTTATTGCTATAGCAGATGTTTCACAGGAATAGAGAAAAAAAAAAACAATAGACACTCGGATGCAACATTCTATTAATTGAAGGTGAAGGCAAGGAGGGTAGGGACATAGCCTGCGTCAGCAAGCGTCGGGGTTACCTCAGTTTTCTTTAATGCTTACAGAACACTACTGCACTATGAACTACCACACATTGTGGCAAAAACATAAGGTTTATTCGGTTTATTTCTTGTGAGTGACATGTGTGCCCTGATTGTTTCTATAAATCACAAGGAAATTGGCCCACAGGTATGAAGTTTTACCTGAATGATGAATCAATGAGTAGTTTTACTCCTGCAGGAGGTTTTCCCCATTAATTAAAAAAAGTCTTTAAAATTATGATGATTAGGGTATATGTATATAATTATATACATCAGACACTAAGAACCCAGTGTTCCTCATACATGCCCCTTGTACATGGTGACCTCAACCGTTCTTGAGATTTAGTCTGAAAAATAACATTCCCTGTAAATGTTGATTTACTATGAGTGCAATGTCTACATGAACACATATCAAATATCCTCATATATTTAAGTATTCAATTAAAAACACTGTCTATTTAAAAAGGTTGATAAGTAGATTTATCTGATAAAAGTTTTTTTTTTTTTTTTTTATTCTGAGTCAGCTTCCTATATGTATTCAAATGTGCATTGATTGGGGGAGTGTTTCACTGTCTCCTGTATTCTTTACACCTGTGTCTGATCCAGCTGTCGTGGGGATAAGAAGGATTATTTCATTCGAGGACCATAGTTTTATGGGATATAGTTGTGATGTGACATCAACTTTAAGCTTACTCAAAGAATTAAGTTTTTTGATTAGGATGTGTTCTTGCATCTGTCATAGGATATATTTTCTAATTTTCTGCGTTGTCGTATGAATATTTTTTTTTTATGTATTTTTGTCGGTAAGCAAAAAAAAGGACATGAAGTCAAGACTATGTGTAACATCTGGTATTTTATTACAATGTATTGGCATTTGGAAACTAAGATGCTCCCAGATTGTAATAGGATAGTGATATACAAAAGATCATATATATTTATTTTTTCAATTTTGCTTTTTTTTTTTTTTTTTTTTTTTTTTTTTTTTTTTTTTTTTTTTTTTTTTTGAGGATCTGATTTCATATTCATTATTGATTTCTTGACATGGAGCTGTTACAAAATTTCGTGGTGTGTTAATATATTTTTTAATACATGTAATAAAAAAAATAGCCAGCCAAAAAAGCATTGTACGGGTACCTTTATACATTTCAGATCAATTTGAAATGAATCATAATTGAAATCCAGATAAATTTTAAGCTTTTAGGTTTTGTTAAATTAACCAAATGATAAAATGAAGAACATTTGAAAGGACAGCTTATTTTTTTGAGCTGCAGGAATTTTTTTTTAAAAAATTGGTAAATTGTTTGATTGGCACTTGATATAGGCTTTTAAGCAGACTTTACAATCACAAGTCTACAGTGTGAAAGTTCAAGCAATCTGCAGTTTAGTGTATATTGATCAAATTGGGTATTAGTCATAAAAAGCATGAGCAACATGTGCAGCAAAGTTGAACTTAATTCAGGAGCCTTTTTTTTGTTCCTACTGTGCCGTATGTTCGTGTGATTGTCAGGTTAATATTCAAAGACTAAACGGTGGTGGCTTTTCATCACACTCGGCATAGCAGCTTTTGTGGAAATATAATAACTTATAATTATCACACCAAAAGGAAAGACAGACTTGATAAATGGAACAGTTTAAAATACTGTTATGCAATGTTAATACACTGCTTAAGAATACCTAGACATGATCAGGGGAGGAGAAAAAAAAGTGTGAAATATGAACACTACTGATTCAGCAGATGATGGGAGTTTTCAGGACTTTGAGTCTGCTATTATGGAAATACAGGGCAGACTGCAGTTTAAGCTTATTACGAGAATATACTTTGGATGTGATTCAGAACAATCGGAGGTAAGGGAGACAATGTGTGTTCTGGGCACTTGTTCCATGGCTAGAGATTTCTGGGGATGCTTTTAAGATGAAATTATACAATATTTTAGTATAAATGTCATTTTTTAGGTTGTTTTTGACAGTTTTTGAATTTTTTGTGTGTGCATAGGTCACTTTTGCCTGTATGTGAGTACTCTAGGTGCAGAAGAAATGATCAAAAGATTCCCAAGTTGGTGCACATTTCTGGGGGGTTGTAGAAGACAGTATTTTCCTGATGGGATATACTTTTGTATATACATGATGTACTTTAAAGGAACCATGTTGGTTAGAACCAGAAAGATGTTTACAAATTGCATGTAAAACAAGGCTTTTCATGATGTAATGAATGATGCATAAATCTTGCCATATGTTCTGCAAAAAAAAAAAAAAAAAAAAAGCCGAGAGTAAGAAGCAGTGTTATGAGTTCCAGTCTCTCTCAGAAAATTTGTCTTATCTTTGTCTGCTTGCGAGAAATAATTCTTTCTCTCCCAAGGGATGTTTATCACTCTCTCTTTGCAAAAGTGTGCATCTGAAGAGTCATAATTCACACTTAAATGAGGCTATTTTTCAGATTTTTTGTGGCACTTGATGAACTCCCCATACATTAACACACCTGTACTGGTCTATAATGTTTGTGTTTGTAAACACTTTTTTTACCTGGCTGCAAATTAAATGTCTCGCCAGGAAGAAAAGTGCATTTTTCACGGTATTGTTGAATTGACAGTTATTACGATGATAATCTATTGATATGATGATGAGGGAATTAGAAAATATGGAAATATTAATGAATATTTGCATGAGAGAAAATAATTATAGTAGTAGAGTTTATCTTCAGAATGCTGTGGAAAAATTACATCATTTAATTTTTTGTGTTTAATAGGTCACTTTATGTTAATTTCTTAGTCATATCCTGATGTTTGGTTTTATGTGCATGAAAGTATTGTGACAAAAAAAAAAATTAGTGTGGGAGTATAGGTTTTGTTTCCATATTTTCAGACTGTGAGAAGTTAATCTTCTTATAAGAGTGTGTTTTTTATTTCTTTATTGATTTTCCTCATACACATTTCAAGTTATCAGTCTGTTGTGATGACCTGGAAAACTTCTGTAAAGGTAAAAAACTTCAAGATTTAAAGTTTATCAATGGAGAAACTTTTTCTCTCTTTCTTTTTTCTTTTTGGGGGGGGGGGGGGGGTGTTGTAGTCAGTTTGTCTGTTAACATTAGGACTGTGGTATTTGAACTTTTGCCATAGTTCCTAGTTCATGGTTTTCGAATGTTCTAGGTTGTATACACTGTACTACTGTTTCATACTGGCTTAATTGGTATCTCTATGAATATGAAAAATGCAACAAGGCCATAATTAGTCATATTAATATGCAATCATCCACAGGTAATGCAGATTCAAGTTTGTTCAAATTAGGGCCCACAAGGATAAGGTGGGGGCTCATAGGGAATCAAAGTTTTATTAAGAATATTTAGGGAAAAAAATCTTTTAAAAAAATCTTCTCAGAAATAACACAAGGCCATGATTAATGATGTTTATAGGCAAGCATCCTCAGGTAGTGCAAATTTAAGTTGGTTTAAATCATGTTTCCTGGGGTAGGCCAGATCCATGACATGGGATCAAATTTTTACCTGGGAATATGTAGGAAATTAATATAAAAAAAATCTTTTCAAGAGTAGCAGGGCCACACTTAATTGTATTACATTCTGTAGTATGGTGTGATAAAGAACAGCAGAATTAAGGTGGCTCAGGTGAGAAGAGTTGCAAATATAACTACTCACCCACTTGCAAATGCAAGTAATTTTGTCCGAATGGTGGTGGTGGGGGGATGAATTCTTGAGGATGTTGTTGCCCACATTGCCAGTAAGAATTTTACTGAAAGGTTTATGGAACCCACCATGCTTTCATTCTACTATTAAATGCACTTTCACTGTTACAAAATGTTTTCTAAACTGTGAATTGTATCGACATAATGACTGTGAGGTTTCAAAGGGAAGGAAGACATGGAACTTCATACAAGTGGTGTTAAAATCTGCAGGAAAAATAGACGGTGTACAGCAAGGAATATATTACAAAAAAATCAAGATTTATTTAAACTAAGTGGATGGAAAATCTTGCACCCCAAAACATCAGTGTGGGCTAGTAAAACTTGTAAAGTTGGGGAGGGGCTGGAGGGGGTACATGACCCCTAAGGTTTTAAATGCTATTTGCAACCCTGGTGAACATTGTGACCCATGATCCTCTTATTTAAACATTTAGCCATAATCAAAATATCAAGAATTGACTGTATGTTTGGTGTAATTCTGTAGTTTTATCAAAGTCACAAAAAGTAATGCCAATAAGTATACAACTGCCTGTTTATGGTAAAGTCAATCGAATTGTAGGGCAGTAAATTTCAAAAAACTTTAAAGAGGTCAGGAAATTATAAGTTATTGAGTTCTCTCTTCAAATAATTTTCCAACTGATTAATAACCTGTTATATGATATAATGAAATGAGTGCATGTCTGTGTTGTAAAGGTTTGTCATATCTAGAACTTATTTTTCAGGATCCCACCCCAGCACACAGTGATGACTGGAGCTTGGTGGATAAGAATGGCCACCACCACCGCCTCCCCAAAACCATGCTGTTCATGGGTCGTGAGGAGTGTGATATTGTTGTCAAGGTAAAATGATGGATATTCTGTTCATGGTATTTTGTAGTAAACCATTGAGCCCTAATCAAAGATTGACTGTAACTGTGAATTTATACAGCACTTATTTTCTGATTTTTTTTTCTCTAAAGTATTTATTTTTTATGTATTGGTAATTATTTTGAACTGCTGTTTGAATCTTACTTATCATGATATTTAGGATTTCTGGTAAATTCTACCTTGCTAATGGAAAGTTTATCAGAGAAAAAATGCATGTCGATAATTATAGTAGTAAAATTAAGAGGCATCACCCTTTAAGAGTTCATCAAGATGTCAGAGGGTATATGTTCAAGTAATGAGGATCAAAGAAAGAAAAAAGTGTTAAGGAAATCACAGAGGATCAAGAGGGTCTTCCATCTTTTAAGGCAGACATTGGTAATGATAACGAATGCTGTTCCTAAAATTTTATTCATTTACTGATCAGACATGGCAACCATTGATTCTGTTCTTGTGTGAACAATCTCTAATTGATGCCTATACCATATTAGCATTAGGTTTTACTTCAGAACTTTATCTCAGACTTTGTATTGAATTGTCTTCTGTAGGATTCACATTTTTGACACATACATTAAATCTTAGTCACTTTCAATCTGTTGCACAGTGACTCAATTTGGCAGTACAACATGATTAGCCTTTAGCTAATATATTACCACTCAACTTTTTTTTTTATCCTTTTTGTCCAGTTCTTTGAAAGTTCATTTGTATGTAATATTTCTAAAAAGCTATCTTTTTACCAATATTTTCATATTTCTACATTTCATAATTTATTTAATACCTTTGAACATGAAGATTTTATGTCTAACATGAATATTATTAATACCAGGTAGTTGTTTAACATCAATTCAAAGTAAGATTATAATTTGGTCTCAGCAGTCTATGAGAGTGACTTCCCTTGAGCTACATCCTATTTAGCCCAGCACCATTGAACTATGACTGTTTATAATAGAGACACTTCTAACCACAGTGTCACCACATGGCTATTGTAAGCTGTCCCAACTAGGACTAACTTCATTTTGGACAATTTTCTCACCAGGGTAGGCTCTCTAGTGTCAAAAATAACCAGTCAAAGGATAGGATTTATACGTTTTGTGAATCTTTAGTATGTATTTTGTGGATTTGTACAATGTAAATTGATACAGACTTGTTTAATGTTTATTTTTGGTATATTATGCTTCATTTGGTAATGGAGTTATTGATTTGGGGGTTGTTATGCTTGTACATATATGTAGAGGTTTGCCAAGTCTGTCAGTCAATAAATTACACTGTCACAAGTCCTGCTGTCCTGCTATTAATGATAATGTAATAATTATCATGGTTGTCCATATGTATTGATAGTTTGTGTTGAGCTGTGTACTAGCTGTCTAAGAGAACCTGTGTTATACATTGTAAAATCGCTATATATTTTGTAATGTCTTCATGCACTATATGTTTGCTCGAGTAGAACATTTAAGGAAGCCGATTTTTTTGACAGTTGATTTGTTTTGATCAGTGCCAGAGTTATGCAAATAGAAAAAAGATCAATATACTGCCATTCTTTCAGTGAGTGGCTTTTACATACATACATATAAATCATATTGGTTTTGTCCTTGGGGTTTTATGAGGAGATAGGCAAACAAGATGAACCAAAGATGGACAACCTTTTTGTTAATGTAGCATAGAGATATGGTACATTTATTTTTAGATGAAATTAAGAATAGATGAATATCTTAGATTGTAAATAAGAATAAAAATACATCACCTAGTAGATAAAGGTTGTAATATATTATAAAGGGAAGATTTAAAGTTGGCTCTTACTTTTCACTTAAAAGGAAATAAAAGGGACCCATTCAGTGAAAAAATTAGATAGTAATATTTTATCATTCAAAATAAGATTTCCTTGTATTTTCTTTAACTTCCACACAATTTTAGAAGATTGGCATAAAGGTGAAAAAGAAGTTACTTGGGAGTTTGATCAATGTAAGGACAGTGGAGATAGTGGGACTTCGATCCTTCATACAGTTTTGATTGAGATTTTGAAATGTTTTTACATGTATGTCTTTTATAATTTTAAAATGTAGTTATTCCGGTTATCTTGCTGAGTGTATAAGTTTGTAAGTCACTAATATTTTTGTTAGTGATCAGTGTAGTTTTCTTTTCTAAAGGATTTATTTCACAGAAAGAAAACCCTATCTTCAGGTCCAAAATTTTAGTTCATACATTGTAATTATATACTGAAAAAAAAAAGACATCAGCAACTTTTATTTTATTACGTGTAAGTGTCGAAAATTTGTTTTTTCAAAAGAAATGGAATATCTTTTACGAATTAATTTCACGGTTCAATGTCACATGTATCTTACTTTTTTCAAGGCCATTGACACAAAGTCACAAAGAGATTTGTTTTTTTTTTTTTTTAATGTATACAACTTTCAATCATACATCATAGAGATGACTATATATAAAAAGTCCCTCAAGTTTTATATCTTTTCATAATGTATCTATTGTTGAAGTTTTGAACAAAATGTAATGCATTTTTATTATTCTAAAGGTTATCTATATAAGATTATTTTAAGAACTCAATGACAAATTATACATTTTGGGAAATAAATCTTGATAATTTTTTTTCACAAAAGTGTATCCTACAAAGATTTTATTGATTAAAAAAAGCTAAAGCTATGGATTTTTGTAGTAAAATCAACCATGTATGTTAATTAGAGCTTATCTTCATTAATTAAATGTGTGCCAGTGCCTTCGGGTAATTGATTAGGGGTTATTTGTGTATTGGCTAGTGTTCAGTAAAAACTGCACTACCGTTCACTGTAATGTCTATAGGGGAGATGTCGACATGGTATCTTATGTGTTCACAACACAACACGCCCAAGAAAAACTGGAAAGTGGAAATATCTATATATGTAATCTATATTACTTAACATCTTACACCTTTATTTGATTATAGGGAAGCACTGAATGGTTTTGACTTACAAGTGCAAACTTGTTTTCTGATACCTATTTGAATGACAATGTTTGCTAAGTTTTAAAAAGAATCAATACAGTGAGTCGATAGATAAGGCAGGAATTTTGGGTAATCCAAGAGAGGGTCAAAGGAATTTTATTAGAGTTTATTTCAAAAAGCCCAAGAGGGAGGGGAAGGGATGAACTTGAACAAGATGGGAGGGGAAGGTCTTGTCCCTAGATCTTTATGAGTTGTGAATTTGAGATTAAGGGTATTTTAAGGAATTACATGTATATGCAGAAAACTTATTCATGTTTTTTTCATGCCAAGTGGTATTTTTTAAGTTCTGCAAATTATTCGTGTCACAATTTAACACTGGTTTGATTGTAAAGCCTCAGTAGGATCAACAGTTACTAGAATCCTGTGAAGTGCATTGCATACCGATTTACTTAAGTGTCGCTTTTATTGCTAGTATATTTTGTTCTGCAGTCACATTACCATTTATTTATGTGCAAAGTGTCCCTATCTGATGGGACTGAAGGTTGTTAAGAAAATAGAAATTGTCATTTCAGTAGGCACTATAACATGAGAACAATCTCAGGTCATGATTTACACTCACTATTGGTGGTGCATATAAATCAAGATGATACATGTACATGTATTTCTTTGAAGACTGTTCAACTTCTTCATTCACTCTAATACACAGTCATATCATTCTCCATGGCACAGTGGTAGACTTGAAATCCAGTGTAGTGTTTGTATATATTGAGGGCTATAGATATGTTGGCAGCATTTTGAATAAGACATTTTTGTGCCTTGATCAAATGGCTATGTATGCAAATTTGTGCCCCTGTCAAATTTAAATAGCCAGGATTTGATAAAGAAAAATTGCTGTGAGACGTGATTGATATTCAGCATTCCTAAGTTCAGATTTCCGTGGATGTAAGTTTACCAGGTTAAAATTAAAACAGTTTTGATTGCATGGGCCCCTAAACACAAAAAAGTTATGTCCAGGAGATAGATATGAAGAGTTGAAGGCCACAAAAGTTACAGGCCAGTAAAACAGTATTTTCAATATGTATTCATGATGTATGCTGGTTTTCAGAGGTGTTGAATCATGATAAAAAGACTTGTTGTTCGTAAAATTAACTCCGTAAACAGGTGAAATTGGTGTATCTGTTTGTTCCAGAATAAATTGTGTGTGTCGTTTGTTACTAAGAGAGATATAATGGAACTGGAAAATTTTTATGGATATATGATTACATAATGTGATTGCAGATATTTTCATGGACCAAGAAATTGAATAAATTTGTCATAAAGGCTACTGAGTAGATTAATCACTCAACATTATAGATATGAAAGTGTGTGTACTGACTTTTAAAGCTCCCAAAATAATCGGGGTATCAAGGTAGATTATGCCTTTCATTTCTGATTTTTATGGCTCTTTTAACATATGTTAAGGCCTCAAAATCCACAGAGCAGAAGCTAGCATTGATTTTGGAATGAATAACAAATGAACTCTGTCATGTCTCCTGACTAAAACCTGATCTGGTAACTAGGAAATTTGATAAGTATTCGATAAGTATCTGTTGGACATTGATATAGGGCCCTGGTCGGTGGCAATGTGATGTATTTTTTAAGATTTTTTTTTATTGTAGACACGAAGTGTAGACAAAAGGCATGCAGTGATCACCTTTGACCATTATCTGGACAAGTTTAAGATCAAAGATCTCAGTACCAGCCATGGGGTAAGTGACCTTGCATCTTTCTTGTACAGATTATTAATGGGACCTTGTAATGCTTAATTGAAGATAGCTTTGGATGTCTTGCATTAGGAGATGATTAAGAAATTTGTACAGCTCTTTCTTTTTAATAGAAGATAATTTGAAAAATGGATGTTTTAAAATTAATCACACTGGCGACACTGCGAAGGTCTTTGTCTGCTGAACTTTAGATATACATGAGCTTGTCTGTCCAGGAGATTTGACAAATTTAAGCCACTATAATTTCAGTATCTTAGAAGAATATGATTAAACTTTATATTAACAATCGATTCTTGATGGAGATTTAGCAAATTGATTGATGGATCCTAGAGGAGAGGTAGAGTGAATTAGCCTGTGCATTGTGGACAAAAGTATGTCATAAGACTTTTTTTGTCCATTTCAGACGTACGTGAATGACAAGAAGATCCAAGATCAGGAATACGTGACACTGAATCACATGGACACTGTTCAGCTTGGCAATGATATCCTTGATTAAGTGACAGAAACACAACAGTCGCAGAGTGGCTGTTATTGAGTGAAATGTATATTCATTAGAAATTAACGCAATTTCTTTACCTAGCTGTCACTATGGATGATAGTGTACTCAGAAGTTTTGGAATGATAATTTGATAAAATGCCTTTGCTAGGTAGTTAATGGGATAATATTCAAGATATGCACTAATAATTATAAGGAAACTTTTTTTAAATAAGGAAACTATTGCACAATGTTTAATAAAATTGAGTGATTCAGGTTATGGTAAATTCCCTTTAGATCAAATTCATATTAGATTATGCCTTGGAAAAAAAATCATGTACCTCATTTAACAATATGAGTTGCTTTTCCTTGACCAAAGGAACATTCCACAATGTACCACATAGAGAGGGTATCAGACTCAGGGGTGTCATCAGGGGACCTTCAAGTGGAGAAAGCTCCCCACTCAATGCCCCACTGGGCCTCCCGAGAACTTCCACACATGATGGAATGCCAGGTAATTCAGTTGTTATGCTGTGACATCAGTAGGGACTGGATCTGTGTAGAGTAGATCTGAATCTTCTAAACGTTTATTATATTATTGCTACCAACCCTTTGTAGCTCTGTCATCTGTAGCACATGTTTTGTAACCTTAAGATTAATGGATGAGATTAACTAAATTACCAGCAGTACCAAGGGTTTGTTATACATGTACTAAAGTCATATTTACAAACAGAATTCATAACGTTTGCAGAGTGCAACTACCAGTTACATGTCATGTCAATGTAATACTTGGGGCCAGATAGAAATTTGAAACAGAGATCACCTACTACTAGGGTGTTATGTCTCCAAGACATATTTAATCATGTTTTATGGATAAATAGTGACACAAATCACAGTAACTTGTACTAACTACATAACCGTTTAACATTGGTCATAAAATTCTGACGTCAGCTAATTCTTTTTGCCAGCCACCCTATGGAGGATTTGTTTTTACTTATCCAATCATGACCTGTTTGGTATGTTAGTTCAATATTACATGTTGTTTCCTTAATTTTCATAAAATGAAGAACTATCTGATAATCCACATGTTAAAAATTTGATACATGTGTATTAAATAAAGATATGTGTTTTTAGCTCACCTGAGCCGAAGGCTCAAGTGAGCTTTTCTAATCACTTTTTGTCCGGCGTCCGTCTGTCTGTCTGTCTGTCTGTCTGTAAACTTTTAACATTTTCGTCTTCTTCTCAAGAACCACTGGGCCAATTTCAACCAAACTTGCCACAAAGTATCCTTGGGTGAAGGGGATTCAAGTTTGTTCAAATGAAGGGCCACCCCCTTTTTCAAGGGGAGATAATAAAGAATTAGTGAAAAATTAATAGCATCTTTAAAAAATCTTCTTCTCAAGAACCACAGGGCCAGGAAAGACGAAACTCATCTGGAAGCATCCTCAGGTAGTGTAGATTCAAGTTTGTTTAAATCATGACCCCCCAGGGTAGGGCGGGGCCACAATGGAGGATCAAAGTTTTACATAGAAATATATAAGAAAAATCTTGAAAAATCTTCTTCTCAAGAACAAGAAAGTCATGATGAGTCATATTTATATGGAAGCATCCTCAGGTAGTGTAGATTCAAGTTTATTCAAATCATGACCCCCGGGGGTAGGGCAGGGCCACAATGGAGGATCAAAGTTTTACATAGAAATATATAGGAAAAATCTTTAAAAATCTTCTTCTCAAGAACAGCAAAGCCACGATGAGTCATATTTATATGGAAGCATCCTCTGGTAATGTAGATTCAAGTTTGTTCAAATCATGACCCCCGGGGATAGGGCAGGGCCACAATGGAGGATCAAAGTTTTACATAGAAATATGTAGGAAAAATCTTTAAAAATCTTCTTCTCAGGAACAGCAAAGCCATGATGAGTCATATTTATATGGAAGCATCCTCAGGTAGTGTAGATTCAAGTTTGTTCAAATCATGACCCCCAGGGATAGGGCGGGGCCACAATGGAGGATCAAAGTTTTACATAGAAATATATAGGACAAATCTTTAAAAATCTTCTTCTCAGGAACAGCAAAGCCATGATGAGTCATATTTATATGGAAGCATCCTCAGGCAGTGTAGATTCAAATTTGTTCAAATCATGACCCCCGGGGGTAGGGCGGGGCCACAATGGACTATCAAAGTTTTACATAGAAATATATAGGAAAAATAAAAATCTTCTTCTCAAGAACAGCAAAGCCTTGATGAGTCATATTTATATGGAAGCATCCTCAGGTAGTGTAGATTCAAGTTTGTTCAAATCATGACCCCCGGGGGTAGGGCGGGGCCACAATAGGTATTACAATGGGGGGGGGATCTGGTAAAGAACAGCATGGCCAAAGTTACTCAGGTGAGCGATGTGGCCCATGGGCCTCTTGTTTTGTTTTTGCTATGTAGTACCAGTTTTTATAAGTGTTGTAAAAGATTGTATTTTTTTTAATTTCAATTTTTGCTGACTGCTCTTATTCAATGTTTATTAATTTTTGATCAAAATAATTTATCATGCAAAGTTGTCTTTCCTTTCTAAATCATTGACCAATGATTTGTTATGCATGTAATGACATTGAAAAGAATTTGAGTTATCTCTAATAAAAAACACTTGTTATGTGCAATAAAAACTGAACATTACCCAATCATCACTGATTAGCAGTATATAATGCCAATTATTAGTTGCCCTATGTCTGTATCAATACTTGCATAACTTAGAATTCCTGCCAAATGTTCCAGCAGGGTATTCAGTTCATCAAGTAGTGTTTATACAGTGTTGCTTTGACTGTTGTATTCTTGTTGTGATTGTACCAATGTTTGTGAAAAAGGGTACACTTTTCATGGTTCATTATAGGTAAGTTTTATTCAAGAAATAAATTTTAGGCTCCTAGAAGAATATTTTTCAGTTGTAAACACCAAAAGAAATGGATTCTGAGGTAGTATGAGCAAGTGCTTGCAAATGGGTGGGGTTGTCTAACGAGTCTATTGCAGTAAATTGCAATTACGTTGCTGCTAAATGGGTATATTGATATACTTACTGAGACTCAAATGTTGTGCAGAATGTTTTGACTTGGCAGTTGTCTACAACTCTTTGGAAATGATTCTATGTGAGGAAATGGAACAAAAAAATGTTCTTAAACATGAGAAGATAATTCTTTTAATATTAACTCACTGATTGGAATACTGAATATTCATAAAGAAAGATTATTTTTTTTATTTTTATTTATTTAAAATAGCTCTAATTGATTTAAAATGAATTATGAAGGAGAGTTGTGTGTTTGTGAAAGGGAATGTTTAAATACAGCTGTGTTGGCTTTTATAAAATGATTTTTTTCTTGTTCCAGGGTTGTATAGCAGAGCAAAGAATTGCACACACATGTGGAAATCATACGTTAGACAATGTCATCAGTCAAAGAGAGCAGATGGCTGCAGACATGCAGCACGCGCATCACGTGCCACATAGAGCTCATGTGCATACCATGCACCAGGAATGTCCGAAGCATGTGAATAAACATTCAAGTGAATATCCACCATCCTTTCCTCAAGGAAGTGATTATCCTAGTGAATATCCGCCTTCCGTTCCTAGAGGAGGTGAATATTCTCCACAGAGTGAATATCCTAGAGGAGGTCACTATCCAGGGACAACTGAATATCCACCTTCTGGTAGTGAATATCATAGAGGAGGTGTTTATCCTGAATATCCAGCAGGTAGTGAATTTGTGAGACTCGGTGAATACCAGGATAGTGGACAGGATACACAGAGCAGAAAAGGAATGATGAACGCCCAGCACGAGGAACAAAGTAAGATCACTCAGTCTGGTTTGGGTTCGAACACTTGGCCTCGTAAACGGATCCGCAACACTATCAATATCTCCACATTTTTCCACGAGGATATTAGTGGTTCTAGAATGAGTATTGATGACAATAACTATGCATGCAGTAGAGTACTGAGGGGAGAGGGAGGTCACCCTGATAATCTCCCCCCAGGTATGTTGTGCTCACATGTACCAAAGGTCATATACATGATTATCTCTCTTCATAATGGATATAATCTTATAGGACTGTAATTCATATAATTAAAAATAATAACAATATTTCTTAAATCAAATTTGTCAGGTGTGGATATCTTGAGTAATATCCAAATTGTTGCTCAATATTTCAATTTTTCCATATATTTTGGGCATGTATCCTATACTATTAGCTTTATGTTCAAAATTCAATGTGGGACTGCCCTTATATTCAATTTCAACAATTATGCAAATTACATTTTAAAATTTAAAAAAAAAAATTTTATGTATCTCACATGAATCTGACATCAAGAACTATAATTTTTTAGCTTGAATTTTATTTTTTAGGAAAGTAAGATTCTTGGTAAACAACCTGATATTGACCTTTGGTACAAATTTCTTTTTTGTGTTTCACACATATATATGTTGTCTTTTTGCATGAATCTATATGGTTCACTGGGCATGATTGTATATTACTTGTGATTGGTGATGCAACTGTGTGATTCTTGTCGTATCTTTTGATGTGTGTTTTGTATGATCAGTCACTCTGCCACATTGATAGACACGTACCTATTTGCATGCTCCAATTGCCTCCCTTGGTTTTTTTCTTTTTTATTATTATCATTAAGAACTTTATATATGCAAGCAACACACTCCATTGATTTTTATTATTCATAAGCGTAGCAAAGTTGTTTTTTTTCTTAGCTGGTGCCTGTTTTTCTACATTCCCTTTTTTTTTGGCATAGAACAGATACTTTTCGTACAAAACCAAAACTATTAATTTTTTTACATCTTGCACTTTAATATAGCTTTCAAACACATCTCACATGTGTGCAGTTTTAAATATCAAAATCTTTTGTTTTTTGCAGTCACATTACATACTATTTATATATTTCCTATTTGTTTTGGTGTCAGTATGTAAAATGTACTGCATGTACATAATGTGTTTTTTCAAATTGGGGTTAAAATGTATGAAAACGGAAGGAAAAATTATCTAATGTATTGCTATAAATGTACAGGAAGCCAAAAAAACTAAGGCACTTGTCAATGTGCCTGGTAGTATTTTCTTTAGAACTGGATAAATTGGCATGAAGCCTTCTTGAAGCTTTTGTGATTCATTGAGTTCTCAGTAGAGTATAACAATACAACATATATGCACTGATTTCACACATACTATCCATTATAAAGTTACAGAAGTCTGTGGGCTCAACTAAGAATTACGAGTGTTGAGAGTCATGAATACTTATTTCTGAATCATTACTCTCTGGTAAACTGTGTGTTGATAATCTTCAGACATATCTACTGTATAATGAAGCTAGAGTGCCAGTGGTTAATTTGAGAGATTTAACATCCACACAATACATTTCAAGAGATTAACCCTGAAGTCTCGAGTTTAGCAGAACACTAGACTGCCCCTATATATGGGGATCAATATAATCTTTGATAGGAGTATAAAGTTTAATTGTTCTTGACCAAGAGCATTTAGACTGGTGGATTAAAAATCCTGAAGGTTTTGACTCGAGGAGTTTTGATAGTAGTGTGTGATAGTAACTGGAGGAAACTTGTGTCTCTGTGTGTAACAGAATGGTGTATTTGACTTTTTGACAGAATTAGAAACAGTCAAGAAGGGCACGCCCCTGTACGGACAACCGGATTGGTGGGGAGAGGAAGAGGTCAACGGCAATGTCAAAGGTAAGGAGTTAATGGTATCACAACCAAAGATACAATGATGCTGGTGCATGTAATCAGTTGGTGATGTACTATATGGGAATGTAAATCTGCCCAACAAGCAGAATTTTAAGAATGTACGTTATCTACAAGATGTATTTATTTGTTGGAAACTATTAGAAATTTGCTGACTGTTCAGATTTTGAAAAAAGTATTTTGTTCTTGATTTTTTTTTTTTGTTTGGAAAAAAGCAACATATGTAACCACCTGTTTTTGTATATCTTTGTAACAAACTGTTACAGCATGTGCTCATTTATTGTCTGTGATGGCAAATGGAAATTTTTTAAAGCTATAACATTCTGGCACTATGCCATTGTGATCTAAATTTCCTGATTTCACTTTCAGGAGGCACTTTTAGGAATACCCTGTCAAAATCACTGATATTGTAATTTATCTTCCATATGTGCTCAAGATATGAACCAGACTCGAAGGGAAAAGATATAGAACTAGTTTACAGTTTTTTGTTCACCCAGACCATTTCAGTTTTTGACACTCGTTATGTGATACTGGGGCAATATAGAGATACTTATGTAAAACAACAATTGATGTGATTATGTGGTCTTTAAAGAAGTATTTTCATAATTACATATATGCCATATGTAGCCTGTTCTGTGTGATGTTGTACATCAATTCATACTATTTGCTCCTTGAACTATGTTAACAAGAAGTTATTTATATCAGAGTATGGCTTTACAAAATATATATCATAATTTCCCAAAGACTGAAATAATTTCTAACTGTGTAGGTATACAGTTTGTCAACAGGAATTGTTGAGCATTGTGTCTCTTATTCCTCTGGACAAAGGAAATATCTAAGTGATGTTTATACCATATATTATGATTAACTTTAATGATGAAGTTTGAACAATTATCGTGGGCAAATTCACATAACTTTGAGAATTCAGAGACATTTTTGTGAGCATTTTCAATTATTCAATGCCTGAATTTCAGAGCCTGAGGATCGCACTACCTTAATATGCCTGAAGATTTCTAGTATTCTTAGTACTTTAAAATAATTGTTGTGAATTATTAGAAAATTTCAGTATTTTTTGATAAATCCAAGTGCATAACATCCATCCTAAATCAATTGCAGCATCTTTTCATTTAATAATATGATGTTTTTTTATACTTACAGAAGAGACTGCAAAGCCGCCCAGTGACTTGCCACTGAACCAGACATCTTCCCCTGATAACAAGACCACCCCCTCAGCAGACCCCCATAGTATGTCTTCTAACTCCTCTGTCTCCAAAGACAGTCTTTTGAACACATCTTCTCCAGAGAAATCTACATCCGAGGGGGCCCAGCCCCCACCTACAAAGATGCCAGAAGGGGGTGCTTGCACAGCATTCACAGTTGACTTTGGGGAGGATGAATCCCCCAAGAGGACCATGTCAGGGAAATCCCTCAGTGAGTTCATGCCGTCCAAGATCCGGAAAAGCTTCAGGGACAGAAAAGACAAGGCACTTGGTACCAAGGCCACTAAAGAATCCACCTCCAAAGCCTCGTCACCTGGCAGTGAAAAGGTTACTTATGTTGTGTGTTGTTTTAGCATTTTGGAAATTGTGATGAAGTACTTTCTCTGAATAAATTTGCACATATTAATCCAAGCCTTAAGCTTTAATTTTGAAATGCAAATACTTTTGTATGTAGCATTAGCATATAGATTAATTTTGTGAAGTGTTCATTTGAAAGGTTCCTTGAGACAATGAACCATAGGTCCTCTAAAAGAGGATGTACATTTTGTCATTTAAAGATGCTAAGAAGTGTGAATGTTGATGTGTGTACTTTACAGGATGCTGATTTAATGTCACCTGGACAGCAGAAAAAGATTGAGGACATTTGGATTTCTCCACAAAGAAAGACAAGGGAGTTAAAGAGATCAGCCAAATCCACAGAGCAGGAACCCAAGCAAGAGAGCACTCCCAAAAGTAAGAGGACTGGTGTAACTGAACATGCTGATTAACTTCTTTTATTAATCAGAGAAAAAAAGCCCAAAAATCTTTCAACTATTTCAAATCATTTTTTGTGATCATTCAAGTTTTGAAAATACATTTTGTATTAAAGAGTAAAATGGATTATTTTAGAGCCTGCGCAGAAAACAGGCTTGCACAGAAGAAGTTTGTCCACAGGCAGGCCTGTGCCAGCCAAACTGTCCAGACCAAAGGAGAATGGTGAGGCTCCCACAACAAAGTCACCCAAACAACCAAAGGGAAAGGAATCAGACACAGCAGATAGCGCCTCATTTTTGATAGATAAAATGTTTGCCGGTGATGCCAAGTCCCCAGCGAAGGGCAGGCGTACTCCAAAGTCCTTAAAAACTGACAGATCCTCAGACCGCTTCAGTGAGCATTCCATGTACTCAGAGTCAAAATCTTTTGATTCTTCTGTGGCCAAATCTCAGAGTGCTAAAGTGGGTCGGAAACCAGTCATCATGAGAAAAGATTCCAACAAAGCCATTCCTGTGTCCAAAAAGTCTCAGGAGAAAAAAACAGAAGTATTACCGGTGGCAAAGGGTGCTCCTCCGGACAATTCAGACAATGTGAGTGAAACAGGGACTTACACAATAGAGGGGGATAAGCCATCAGAGGAGGAAGACTCAGCGCGTCAGAAAATAGACACTGTGTTTGGAATTAACAATACTCAACCGAATGTCTCACAATCCATGGAATTTAGTGAAATCTCCACAGACAGAAAACCTTCATCGGAGGACTTGATTCTAGAGAACTTGGAAGATGAAGAGGACCTGAGGGTCCTGGAGAAGAAGAGGAGTCGAGGTCCTGAGGCCAGCAGTGTAGAGGTGGAGGTTGGAAGTTCTGTTGTCACTGACCTACAGATCACAGAAGATCAGGTGAGAGGAAGTTAGTGGAAGTAAAAAATAAATGTTTATATATAGATACAATGTATATATATTTTTATTTTGGAAGGGAGATACTTTGGTGAAGCTTGAAGTCCATATTGGGAAAAATATTGCAAGATTTGTCTTATTAATTAAAGTTCATATTGTTGTGATGATTATTTGCAAAGGTTAATCTTATTAAAGGTTAAAGTTTCATTTTTTAAGTATGGTCTGAGTTTTTCAGAAATTTTAACTCTGTCTGCAGACTTTTTGAGTACTATATTCCTATTAAAATAGTTCCTGTTCTGTTATTAGTCTACAGTATTAAACCAGCAAATAATGCTTACACAGAGTTGCTTACAGAATTTCAAAATCACGGTAATAAAACAAGCTAATTATATGTTGACCTGTTTATTATTATAGTACATTAGGATACCTTTTGTGATGATTTATAGTCTGTTCCTTTGGTTTTGTGCTCTGCAGTGCAATGCTTCAATATCTGAGTAATAGTATTCATAATTTTATATTAGTTTATGGAAAACTGCTGGTCAATGCAAAAATATATCAGCTACAGAAATTCAAACTGTGTTGCAAATATGATTTATTTTCATCTTAAGCTGTTTATACAGGTCAAAAATGTTTTTTTTTTTTTTTTATGTTTTGGTCATACATAAATGGGTTGTAAACTATGTCAGATGGTTTGATTGTACATGATGAATGTTATTGTAACACAGTCCATACAGCTCAGTTTTGTGTATTGCATTTGATTATGTGTCCAAAACATCCATGCCAAAATTGTTGTTCGTGACATGTTTAATACAGAACAGGAGAAATGTACAAGGTTATAATTGGGCATTGATTATGCCCCCTGTCTAGGTATATAGTGGAAAATATTAAGATTAAGGGAGGCGTGTTTCAACAGGTTTTTCTTGGCCATTGACTATTTACATTGCCCGATTAAATGTAATTGCTTGGTTTTGTGGATATTCATTGGATATATACAACTCTCTGTACACATTCTCCTTTCACTAGTCTAACGATTTGTGGAAACATTGATTAGGTAGTGCTGTGTGTTTCTATTTTCCCTCTGGGCCCCAAGAATCCAGAGGCCCAGACAGGGTTTTTGGGGACACATTGATGTAATAGTTATGTATCACTGTCCATGGATGGGCCTGCTAACTTACACTGCTGATGAATGTTAAAAAGGTGTGAAGAGGAAATTAACATTAATGACTGGTGTAGTCGTTAAGCGAAAAGGAAATTAATTTTACTCCTAGCTGTTTCTGAGCTTCTAATTTAAATTATATCTAGATGAAATTCGGTGAGGATATAAATATTTTTCTTAAGGTAAGAAATTATTTACATGTAAGGCATAATGGAAACAAAGAATTAATAATAATTAAGCTTTTTTTTTCTAGGTCATTTGAATAGCTAAAATTATATTGTCAAACAAGTTTAAAAAGCACTTTCTTTAAGTATATAAATGAAATGCTTGTTTGTTCATATTTACTTGGGTATATATATAGCTATTATAAAGTTGCACTGCTTCATTAAAAGAAAAAAATCAAGGCTTTAAAAGATTAAAATAATGAATAACATACCTGTATTTTAAAATAAAGATTGCATTGTAATCAGCTTATGATTTAATAAGCAATCATTAATTATGCATTTTTGCAGTGTTCATGTGTTGAGGATCAAGGGTTATTTTCTCCATTTTTTACATGCTATATGTTTGAACCATCATTCGGCAAGAGTGACACTTAGGGCTGATTTTTACTTAAGGGCACACTCACACATACTTATTTGTCATGGCTAATAATTACACATGATTAGATTGATGAATATTGATTGCACATTTTGCCATCTCACTTGTCAAATTCTTGCTAATTCATGAGTTTATTTACTCAAAATAATTGTAGTAAAATTATTTACTTGAAGTACTAAGTTCATTGAATTATTTAAATAAGATTTATTTTTTTTTAAAACAGTTTAAAGTATTTCAAATCATGTTTCAATATTGGTGGCAAATTTTGTTGAATTTTGTATTGATTTTGCAAGTTTGAAGCTTAATATTTGATATATTCATGTAGAAAATGAAGTACTTGAAGTTTTTCGACAGTCTTTAAGGCTCTGGTCATTTAAAGCAAGGTTAAATATTTATGTTGGCTATTTATTTACATGAGAAGATGTGAATGTTTAAAAGTCTGAATGTTTGATTTTCTTCTGTTTAAACAAGAAGTATTTTTTACCTGGTAACACACAACAGTGTATTGTAAACAATGACTAGGTAACTCAAAATTTCCTTATATTACAGTAAAAAGAATTATTTAATGACAGTTTAGTTGATTTAAATGTCACCCCCACATTTGCACATTTTTTCTGGTAATACAAGATATATACTAGATCCGACGGTAAAAATTAAAAAGCCATGCTTGATTGACTTCAGGAAATTGTAATAGACCTGTTCGTAGGCTCGGCTCAAACGTTCGTGAGGGAAGTGTTATGAAGCGAACATTTCACGATCTTTTGCGAGCTTTATGAACTTTCTGTTCATATACTGTGAACTGTTAAGGCTGATACTAAATGGACTATCATTCTTGAGAGAGAATGTGGAAATAACTGGGAGATAGAGATCTAACACTGATTAGCCAAACACCAGCACATGTCTCTGTGTATCATATTTGTTTACGGTTTGGATCTTTGACTACAAGGCATAGAGTCCTTTCATTCTGGGCTATCATGGCTAGTGATCTGTGGTCCAATTTTCCTATTCACACCATTCAGGTCAGTTCTAATGATAAGTGACTTTTCTTCTGAGACAAATTTGGAATTTTGAAGCAAATAAAGGCTTTTCTACATACATAATTAGGTACATTTGACTATTTTTTGCATGTGTGTGTGTGTTTGTGCCATAGGTTGTTGGGGGGGGGGGGGGGTATCCTTAATTTGTAATGTATATTTGTTTATAAAAGAAGGAATGTTACTAGATGAAAAGAAAAATTATGTTGAACAAAGTGATGTTAAACAGACAAAACACTTGGCATTCATACTTTTTTCATTGAAATAAACATGCCATGTCAGCTTGGGGGGAAAAAGTTGACCTAATGCTCTAATCAGAGCTTACCACTTAACATCTCGATTTATTTGGCAAACTATTCTCATAAAAACCCTAATGGGCAAGATCGTTTGTGAACTTTTTTTTTTCCTCTCCAAGCTGTAACCTAAAGGTACCATATTGTACTTGGCATTCCACTGGCCATGCCAGGTTTTGATTACCAGCTATTTGATACATGTGAAATATTTCTGTGTATATATCACACTTTATAGACAGAGTTGTATGTGTCACAATATCATATCCAGCTAGGTGAAAAATGTTTTATTTCAGTGCTTATGTCAGGTAAGTATGGAGAAAATTAGGGTTTGTTAAATATGTTAATCCATATTTTATGAAGGGACATTTTTTTGTTCTTGTTATGTAAAGTGCCTCACTTGAAAAAAAGAATTATTTTCTATTGTTGAAGACTGTAAATAGCAAGAAAACGAAGAGAATGTTTATGAGTGATTGCTCTCATATCTACAGAAACAAAGTGGTTTTGTATGCTTGTAATTGAAAGTATATTGATGAGTGTTACAGGCACAAAATCTGCATTAAGTTGAAAGCCTTCTAGAATCTATAGACATATAGGTATCTAATATGTTACCTAGAGTGTTGGGACTTAATGGGAGAAATTCTGTATTGTCAGCTGTTTTGAAATAAAATGTTTGAACTTTGTGGTCAAAGAAAACCTTTGATAGGCATGTTTACCCATGTAATGGTATGTCCACGTCATAATGAGGAATTCTTTCCCCTCATTTTACAAGAAACATGTCCCCTTACTTCCTAAAAACGTGAATAAAATGACGGAATGTGGCAGAGTTTGGAATGTTTAAATGGCTGTCGCCCAAAATTTATCAAGGAGTAATCACTAACCTTATTAAATAATTAAAGCTAGGCTTGCATGTTGTGTTTTCTTATTAGTAAATTTGTTATGGAACAATGGCAACTTCAAAGTTTTGACAAAAGGAAAGGGTTCTTCTTTACTTTGGAAGATTTGGAAATCGTTTTTTAAATGGTAGGCTTTCAGAAAAGTCACAACCAATTCTAAATCTGATAGATATACAGAAATGTAGGTCTGGTCAAAGAACATGTTTAAACAATTTCAATTGAATGCTAAAAATTCAATTGACACATGTAGACTGCATGATAAACATTAAACTTATGATGTATCCTCATTGCTCTGATATAGCTACCTTGTTTGTTGTTTTGTTTTTATGCTGTATATGTGTCTTTCATGACAGTGTTTGTTACTTACTAGTTGCACAAGTTGACAGTTATGTCCAGAAAGATTCTGTAAATATGTGACCTCCTTATTGGACAGTAAATCTGGTGATTTGTTCACCTGTCTGATGGTCATACTGGCTGCAGAAATAAAAAATTTGATCAGTTTGTGTCAGCTAGGTCATAAATGTTATAGCTTTTTGGGAATAGAGATGAAAGTGGCAATCTTTTTTTCTTTAATTTTTGCTAAACAGCTGATTATTAAAATAAATATTTGCAGAATCTGACAGCTAGGTTTCTATGGTGTAGTGGTTAAATTTCTAAGCACAGTTTTTTGTTTCGTTTTTTTGTTCATAAACTCGGTTGTGGTGTATTTTTGATCTGCCAGCATGTTTGTTCAGAAAGCATTAATAAAGTTCCATGTTCTGTGTTAGAAGAACTGGAGGGTACATAAGAGTGCTGTATAGTTTCTGACAGTGTAGGCTATTGTTATGAGAGCTGCTTTGAATAGCTTAATGAGGTGTACTTATACAGGTTATTCTAAACCTGGTGTATGCTGAAGGGTATAATTCTTTTTTATCATAATAAAGACCTGTGTACATTACATAGCATAAAAGTTCGCCGAGTCTATTTTTTTTTTCTCTGTGGGCTATTACACAGGTAAAATCAGATTTCAGAACAGCACTGCCTAGATTTAAGTACGTTACACCTGATAAATATTTTTCTTGACTCATTTATGTACATTTGTAATTATCCACTTATTTTGGATTGGGGTAGCTAAAGAGATAATGATATCCTCTGATAAACTGAATTTCTGTGATTTCAGGAGAACCCCAGCGATGCAGTGCCCAGCAGCGCGCCCACTTGGGTGACCCAATGGGCAGCCTTGACCAGTAAAAGTAAGACATCAGAACCAAGCAGTCCCAGTAGCAGTGTCTCTGATAAAGGTAAATGTGATTATTGGATGATTCATTTCTATTCTCGTATATGTTCCCATTTCTTGATAGAAAACAAATTTTTCACCTGTAACATGTAAAGAAGGAAAGAACACAGGGTACACTTTTTATCATAAAGACAGATCAAGGTTTCCTTTTGATAAGGTTGAAGTACTCAGGTGATGATTAAGGTTTTATTATGTACAAGTATTTTTGTCTTTTATGATCACTGGTAATGTTTTTCAGGAATTTACAGGGATTACTCATAATGTATTCACCAAGCACTATTAACATAATCATAATGTTTGTCTGTATGAAAAAGGATTTAATTTAGTTTTGTTGTCAAAACGGTGAAAAAGTTAATTAATATTAATTTATGTACATGAGACATTTTGAATAAGGTTATACACTAAACTATACTGGCCCCTTTATGTGTAAGCTATGTGTAAGCTATCATATACTTAACATGAGGAAATTATTAAAATGTATATATTAATGATCATTGCAGATACCATGATGACTCCAGACTCAAAAAAGCCCTCGAAAGGGTTGAGTAGGAAGCGACCAGGCACTGGCAGAAGATTACCCACAATTCCTGGTAAAAGTCCAGATGGGAGTAACTGTAGTTCCCGATTAAGTCAGAGCACAGACAGTCAGAGTCCCAGGTGTCCCTCTACACCCCGATATGGAGAAAACAACAACATCGCGGACAAACAGAAGGCTGTCACAATATCTAGTCATGTGGTTAAACGTTCTGAGGACACGGACACAGAATCAATATCAAGAACAAAATTTGACAGTGAATCGGAGGTGACATCTGTGACACAAACTGATGAGTTTTCAACTCCAAAAACCACTTCACGAAGTGCTGCAAGTGTTGATACTGAAGTTCTGTTGAAAGATACACAAACTGTCATGGCAGCCATGGAGGCTCGCATGGATTCAAAGTCAGGTGGCTTACAAAATGGACATGTTCAGGATGACGGTGATAATTTATCTGACACAGAAAGCACAGCAGCACTTGTAAATGGACATGAGGGATTTTTAAAATCTAATTTATATACTAGTCCTCGGGAATCTCTGGCAAAGTCCAGAGGTTTTCAGCAACATAAACCTGTGTCTCGAAATAGCTCTGCCAGTGAGAGACTTCAAGCATTCCGAGAAAGGAACTACAAAAACATTACACCTCCTGAAAACTCAGTAGTGTCAGATGTTTTAAGTGAAAATTGTGATCTCAACCAGTCATTAGACAGAACCAGTGAGTGCAGTGATACAGGTGTTAGTTTTAATCGATCAGGGTCAAAGGGCAAGGGTACAATAAGTATGACACGACCCAACAGGGCTTTTCAGTTAAGGAGAGCAAGAGCAGATGGAGAAGTCCCAGACACTCCAAGTTCAGGTGTCTCAGAGGCTGTGTCACTTACTAATGTGTCTTCTGCAAGTTCTTCACGTTCTGTAAAAAGTTCCACTCCCACTCGATCCATGAAGGCTGCCAACAGACTCAGTTACCCCTATACTAAACAAGACTCTGCAAGGAGCAAAGAGAGTTTAGGGGCAGCTATTGTACAGAGGAGCAGAGAGGGTCCTCAGTCCTCCTCGAGGAGTAATGCCAGTCTTGGTGCTAAAATTGCTCAAAAAGCATCTAGCAATCAATCTTCAGGAAACTTGTCTAATGCTTTTACCAGAAGTGATGGTGGGCGTTATAGTCTTAAGTTGAACAGATCTTTGAGTTCACAAGACTCCATAAACTTTGACGGTAGCAATACTCCTTCACGCAAACCTGATTTTAAGTCTGTAAAATCAAAGTTAAAAACCACCCCTACCTATGGTCTTTCGGTTACTGGTATTAATAGTAACAGAAGTAGTGTTACATCTGCCTCAAGTCGATCCAATTCTCCCCGATCTGCCGAGAAGGCAGCTTGGAAGAGGAGGAAGGAGTATGACCCTAGAAAAGCAGTGGCAGAGGCCAAGGCTAAAGCTAAGGATGTCAAGGTCAAGATGGATAATCAGGGTAAACCCAAAATGATCAGATCAGCATCCTTCACCAACACAGCAGAGCTGCAGAAGTACAGAAGGCAAGCTCTCCAGAAGAAGGACTCTGTGTCGAGTCCAGATGAGTTGAGTTGTGCCAGTGAAGGAACAGGTTCAGTGGCAGACAGTGTGTATCAAAGAAGCTTCATCCCTTACTCAGGAAGATCACAGTCCAGTCGAGTCCTAAGTTCAGAGGAGGATGATAGTAGCATGATTGTCAAGTCAACTCAGGTATATATTTATTTGAATATTATTTAGTAATACAGGTACATTTTACCTGTATATGAATATTTAAAAATAGTGAGTCATAGGTTATCCTTACTGATAAATTTAGCTTCATATATGAGTCAGGTAGAGAGATTTCGTTGTGGACATTACCCCATTGTTTTAGATGTTGTGGTTTTTAAAAATATTAATGTAGCAATTTATCACATATATAGCGTACTTAAGTGGTATGGTACATGTATAACCTAAACATTAACAATTCATGATACAGCTTGTTCGTTGGGGCCATTATTTAATTTTTGGTTAGAGGTTTTAGTGTATTGAAAAATCCTTTTATTTTATGCATATCAGCCATCTAAATACTGTCATTATGTTTTTAGGACCTAAGCAGCGGACGCTATAAATCGGCATTCACCCCGCCGCCCCAGAACTCTGCCCCCTCTCCCCCTTTAATGCCCTTGTCTGTATTTAAAAAGCGAAACTCCTTTGAGAGTTACGAGACTCGTCATGGGGTCACCAGACACAAAGCTCAACACGAGCCTCCAGTGCAGCAGGTTTGTCCCGCAGACTCGCCCCTGAGTATACTCAGTACTACCAGCTTGTTTGAATTTTGTCTGTTTATAAAGGATTCTTTATTTTCAAGCTTATTTTCCTCTTTTGTTTTGAATTTAATTGGTGTCAAGGGAGTTTGAGCATGTATTTTGAAGGTGTTTGTTTTTTTTTAAACTCATGATTGAGTAAGTTTTTCTAATTTTAGTTTTTAAATAAAAAAAAATGAGTTTCAAATATGACAAAAAGTTGTAAGCTCATCAACCTGGCATCAGTAGTTGGGCCAACAGTAGGTTAGACATTAATTACCTTAAAGATCATCATTTTAATTAATCTATTCCTAACCAATTAATACCGTAGATTTCATTTTGAGTTTTAATAGAATGACAGCTAACACAAGTATCCACAGAATCTCCAATATGTGAATCTTGACCTAGTGCTTTTGATTTTCTCTTGCTAATCTAATACAGGTGCAAAGTGGGGCTAAGGCCCACTGTAGACCATGTATATATTATACACACCAGTACCCATCCATAACTACTCCTGCATATGTCAAAAAATTGTTGATCAATTTTATAACATTACATGTGTGACTGAGTGTACATGTAGTCAGCATTTCTGTATATGTATATGATATTTTATAGTGCTGAAGTTTCAATATGTCAAGCAAGATATTTATTTATCACACAACTTGCACAATTTCTGGAAAAAAAATTACAACCTGTAATTTACCTGATTAAATTGCACTTCATTTTCATTTAAATGACTGCAAAGTACAAGTGATGCATTTTCAAGTAAAAATATATACAGTGTGGACCCTCATCAATCCGGACATCAATAATTTTAATGCTTCACCCTCTGGATGATTAACCTATTTATCTACCAATGATAAAAATGCCCGTTTTCAGTAATCCAGACCTTCATTAATCTGGACGATTTTCTTGGGCCACAATCATCCAGATTTACCGGTATTGAATGTATATCGGTATATATCTTGTTTTTATTTGGATGTGTAGTTTTGTGATAAATAGATATCTGAAGGACATTAATATATATATATATATATGCTGTATGCCAAAACTCCACTGTCAATAATTTTATGGAATGCAGATTGGAATTGAAGTCTCCTTTCCAATCACATGATATTCTTAAACTTTATGCATTTTAACATGTGTCTTTTCTTTGTGACCATTTTGAAAATATGAACAAGCTAACTGTACTATGTAGTTTTAGAAATTGACCAATACAATACTATAAATTAATGAGGTATCAGGGGAAAGAGGATTTTAATAATATGGGTGAGGGCAGAATTAGGTTTCTTGAAGATTAATTTTCTGGTGATGGTCAATAAAGTTTACAGAAGACAATATACCACTACTATTGCAATGTTTGAAATGCTCTTCACTACATACATGTATATCCTGCTATGTATGTTAATTTTTATTTATTATATATTATATAATATTATATGAAATATACATACTACACATATACTGCTTTATATAACCCAGAATTCTGGAAACGTAGTACAAGTACAAATTATACTGCAATGGCTTCTTCTCATACGATTCAAATTTTAATTAATTTATATAGGGTTTTAAAGTTTATTCAGATTTCTTTAATAGGAATACATGTGTATGGTTCTGGCAATAATTTTCATAATACTACATGATGGTTTTAGTTGAAAAGTAATATCTGAAAAAAAAATGTGCTATAAGTTTTGGGTTTTTTTTTTTTTGTATTGTGTTTTTATTTTAAAAGTTGTTTATTTTTCAGTCTTATGACAACATCTTGGTGTCATCCATTTATCAGCTGTCACTCAAACTCAAGACCAACACAGAAAAAACACTGATGCAGCTCAAGTAAGTCTTAATTAGGAAAAGGTGCAAGAATATGGCGTATAAAGGGTGAAGACATTACAAAATATGTCCTAATGCGTGCTTAAACAACTTAACAAATTTGAGTGTTATATAACTGCTATAGGAGTGTTATTGGGGGGGAGGGGGGGGGGGTACATAGATGGGTAGACTGTTAAACTAGATGATTACTATTTGGCACCTACAAAGTCTTGTATGATCCTTTTTTCAAAATCAAATACAGAAATGCATTTTTCTTTGAGTGGTTGAATTTTTTAGTTTTGTAAATTGTTGATAAACTGATTTGATTTATGATGATAGGTTGGATCAGAGAATTGAGGATATGTCATCTCCCTCTCCCATTGATGACATTCTGAACCAATCATCATCTAACAGTGATATTCCTGGCTGGAAGACGGCCAATCAGGAGCTAGCAGCCATCCTCACCAATCTGAGGAAAACAGAACATAGAATCCACAGTAAGATCAGTGCAGTTATTTATAGTGAATAGAATTTTAAAGAGGATAATTGAGGGCAGTATGCAACTATTTTGATTAGGATTTTATCATTTTTTTAAAACGAATAAATCCTCATTGCTTTGACGTTAATGAAACGATACTGACATCTAGATTTTTTTCTGAATTCATGGTTAGGTGTCATATAAATATACAATTAAAAAGAGCTTTGATTCTTGGGGGATGCAGGCATTGTGACATTTTCTGGTTTAGTAACAACATAAAATTCTTTTTAAGTGATGCACAAGGCCCTGTATCCGGATGATGACAGCTGCTCCGACTCACCTGGATTATCCGGACGAGAAAAGCGGGAATATCTCCAGGAAATAGAGAGGATCCGCAGTGAATTAGCTGGATTCCAACCAATTGCAAAGCCCCAAGTCATTAAGGACGATCAAGCCTCCATAGAATCTGACTGTGAAGAATTGGGAACTGCTGACGAGTTCTTTTGAAGACCTTTATGCTGTTTATATGTCAATTTTCAATTAATAGATACTTCCATTTCAAATTTTTGTCCAACCAATTTTATTCTAGTCTCAAATATTTCTTTTTGACATTGCCTGACATATTTTAATATTGAATGGTTCCAAGTTTCATTGGTTCTGATATAAATGGCACACACTCTCAGTGATCAGAAATTATTGTTGAGGAAATCATTGAAGTATCAGTACTTAACATATATAAATATGTAACTTTCAATTAAGTTGTGGCATTGTTACCGAGAGAAGAAAAAAAGAGGGACAAGTATCTTTCATCGGAATAATCTGAGCTCATTTAGAGTAAATTTGAATGTAAAATGTTATTCAAGTTTGTTGTGACCTTGATTAGATTTTATACACAAATCACACCTTCGTGAGGAGAATGTTACCTAATAAACCAGTTTTCTGACTCTGTGATACATACAGTAGTGCTTTTCGCTGGCTGTGATCATGCATTAGTGGCATTAGATATTGAAGTAGATATTAACTTTTACATTCAATGTTTTTTTTTAACAATTCAACAATGAAATGAACCTTATAAGCTTGCTCTGATCTTTGAAGCTCTTAATGAAAACTCAGTAAATAACTTTTTTTGTTAATGGTCAAATTATAAATCTTGTGATTTGATTTAAAGATGGCAAAGTCATTTTACTTGAGAAAACATACTCATAAATGTTGCTGAAATTCTATGTGTATTTATCACTTCTCATTTGCTTTGTTTTTTCATAAGTGTGCTGTTATATTTTAATATTCATGATATTTATGGTACATTTGCTAAGATCTGTCAGTCTCATCATAATCCACACAAACAACATACTGTGAGCTCTCTACAAATAATCATTAAGTAATACGTTGAGGACTTTATATCTATGTATGAGCAATTTAAAATTAAAAGAAGACTGCTCAGAGTATTTTAGAAAATTACCAACTGTTCAAATTGATAATATGAATTTTAACCTCAATTCCGTTGAGGACTTTATATCTATGTATGAGCAATTTAAAATTAAAAGAAGACTGCTCAGAGTATTTTAGAAAATTACCAACTGTTCAAATTGATAATATGAATTTTAACCTCAATTCCATGTCATTTTTTTTTTTTTGGTTTTGTTTTTATGTATACAAGGAAGAATTTTAAAGTCACGGTTGTATTGTACCTTTTTTTGCTTTTTGTTAGTGACTGAGTCACAATTGCTGACTGGTTGTTTGGTTGTTCTGGAGTTTCATTCTCCAACAAGTTTTGTAAACCTAAACAGTTAACATACTTAATATGTTGATTAGATTAGAAGTTGTGATACAATATTGTATTCATTCTCTCACACTGCTTTGAATTGTTGAAAATATTTAAGACTTATTGAATGCATTCCATTGAGGTAATGGATGTTGGTGTGCCTGTACATTTCTGTTGTTTGTCGTTTAGTTATGCTTCAAGCATATTGTGGTTGTTGGCCAGACTGAATTACTGAAATATACAGTCTGAATGCAATATTTTGTATTGATTCCCTTTTATTTACAAATGCCTTAGTTGCCATGAACAAATTGTTTTATATTAGATAATTTAATAAATTTATGCATTAATGTGAAATCACTGGTTGTTATTATGATGGTTTATTAAATTAGAAGGACATTTGCATGGTTGCAGTAGTTGGAAGTTTTGATATTGTAAAGTGAAGTATATTGGCCAGTGGATACTTAAGCTTATCTATTGTAAAATAAATGAATGGTCTATTAACACTCATGAAGGATACAGGGGTCCGTTTTTTTTTGCTTTATCTCTGTTGACTGATACATGTATCTGTTAGCGTAAATGTATGCAACTTATTGTGGATATCATTTCTAATTTATTATCTTCTGAAAAATTGGATATCCAGGAAATTTATATGAAAGCAAGGTTTTAACTCTTTCTTAAAGTACAGTCAATTGCTCAAAGATAAGATTTTACTTCTTTTTTTTTGGGGGGGGGGGGGGGGGGCTGCAAAATGTAGTCGGATGGAATTCCCCAAAAGATGTATTTTCATTATCTCTGATAAGCTAGGGCTTTTTGACTCTAAGAAAATATTCCTTGGGTTAGGACTTGTGGTTTGAATGGGCCTCTCCCTTCTAGGATGCTTTGAACTGAACATAACTTGTAAACAGGCATATCATATTAGTTTTCTTACCTGCTATATCAGCAGTGGAGTAAATAAACCCTTCACATTCATTACACCTGACTGCTTTTACCTGGTTGCTGCTGCATAAAGTACATGTATATCTTGCATTGTCTTTCTATTTACATTTTATGTCACTGAACATGCATTTGTGATTGTTTTACCTTCTAATACATTGACCAGTGCAACTGATATTGAATATCTTTTGAAACTATTTTCCTGACATGGCAGACGCATACAGAAGTCTATCATAATGACATTTAAAGCGAAATCAGTTCCGGTAAACTCTGTGAAGCGAAATCAGTGAACTCTGAACAAAGCTGAGGCTTATATAGTGGCTGGAAAATGATAGTCTATAGAAGACTAATATGGTGGACAATGATAACTCTTTTCCTTATACAAATCGTTCAGCTTCAAAAATAAGATCATTATTAGAAAAATAAGACAAGAAGTCTGTGAGCCAATGCTCACTAGTAATACCCTAACTTTGATGTGAATTTACACAAGTTCAGTTATGGACAGACACAAGAATGAACAAGAAGTTGACATCAGATTTGTACAAAAATGATTCTCACCATACTGCAGGCCTAAACAAAGAGTGTGCTAAAATTTCAAGCATTTGCAATTAGTAGTTGCTGGGAAAACTGCAACCAAAATTTATGTATAGTACAGACAGACACACAGATAAACAGGAAGTTGACATCTGATTCATACAAAAATTAATCCCATCATATGGCACGCCTAAAGAAAAAGTGTGCTAAAATTTCAAGCACCTGCAATCAGTAATTGCTGAGAAAACCGCGACCAAAATTTGTTATGTATGGTACAGAAAGATGCACAGATAAACAGGAAGCTGACATTGGATTCGTACAGAAATGAATCCCACCATATGGCATGCCCAAACAAAGTGTGTGCTAAAATTTCAAGCATCTGCAATGAGAAAACTGTGACAAAAAATTTGTTACGGACGGACAGACACACAGACAGACAAACTAGGATAAAACAGTATACCTCCCTCTCCTTCGGAGCGGGGGTATAATCAAAGTGTTTAACAAAGTAGTAATGCACAATTTCTTATTAATTTTAATAGAATTTCCTTAAAAATACTGAAATTGGCCATTTAAATTAGCCATGTGCTCTGTAAATTTTTTGCACAACACTACTTTACATAATGGGGAAAAAAAGACTTGTTCTAATGGTTTCATAAAACCAAGTGATCTCACTATTAATTGATAGATAAGCAATACCAATGTAAAACACTGTAGTTGATGCCTCCATTCTTACACTGTTATACACCAGTAAGCAATATGGCTAAGTTAATTGTAATTTATTTACATCTATCCCAAGGTTACATGTTAAACTGAAATTCACCAGACTTAGTATTTAAAATCCACTGAAACCCTCCATTCAACTCCATTGTAAATATATCTAGTTCTATTGAAAATGGATCTAGAAACCATTTTGCAAACTTTCCCTGCTTTTCGATACATAGAATTTGCAGCATTATGTTACTGCATGGGTACAATTACTGTTGTTCAAGAAGGCAAAAATTGGTAATCCTGCAAGAAATTCTTAGCAAACCCTAGGATCTTTGTCCTTGGAAATTGTCAAGGTTGTCTCTCACAGCTTTCTAGTACATGAATTAAGAAAATATACTTAAATTCAGTTTTTGGCTATTTTTATTTCAGATGTGTTTCTTCTTTAGTAGACACATTTAATACAAAAGTATTTAATGACAATTAACTGAAAAATAGATTCAACAGCAAAGGAGGATACCAAACAAAGTTCCAGGGGGTAAACAAGCCTACAATGCTAATTGCTTTAGAAAGTGAGGATTTGGCATTTCTAAATGAGTTTCTTAAATCAAAGTAATTTAAAGTATCATATTAAGAATGAATTACAGAGTACACATAAATTCTGCATCATGGATACAAATTTACTGAAAGTCGCACTACTGTAAATATATTACATTTGGCTGTGTATTCTTTTTAGCGCTTTAGGCAGACATCAACTTCCACTAAATCAATTACAATGCTAAATGTCTTGCACATATGCATATACATAAGAACATTAGGAAATGCGATAAATCATATCAATGCTAACTTGTTCAAAGTCAATTTCTGTCAAATATCATACACGCTTAATTAATATAATACATTTACAGTATTTTTATCAAATGGCATATTTATAACAAAGATATCAGTAATAGTGTCTGACTACATACCAGCTAGTATTTATATCTGACATGTACATAATGGTACGTACTGCTGGTCAAATTATTACCAACCTACTATTATTTTCACAACACATGCTAAAGCACTGTTACATATTTAATAACAGTTACCATAATTATATAATAAAATGATTTAATATATATTGTGATTTATACAGCAGAACATGAATCTTCTAAGTATGAAAAATCTATAAACTTTTATAAATACACAAGTATAGTCAATTCAATATATATACATACTATACATGTACAAATAAATCTAAAAAATATTTAACATATTTTTTGGCATTTCTTAACTACTATCAAAAACATTTAAGAAAAAAAAAAGCTGCACTTTTTGCAAAAAAATTCTGTTAAATTACAATCTGCATATTAAATTCTATACAAAATACATGCACTATTTGATGAAAACAATATATAGAATAAAAAAAATAATTGATAAATATGGATTGTTTTAAACATACACATCACTACATGTAGCTAACACATTGGGTATTAGAATACTCATTAGCTAACACATTGGGTATTAGAATACTCGTTAAAATTTAAGCCGTGGATGTCACACTTTGTTATCTAGAAAACAATTAAATAAAAAATAATTATATCAGCAACCATATTTATTAAGCCCATATGACTGTGGTGATTTACTGTCCAACTATGTCATTTAATAATTCGGTTATCCAGTCCAGTGTGTGTGGTTGTGGAGTACAAGTCCACAGAACCTCAAAGCTGGCCCATCATGAGTTAATGTTGGCTTGCAACAGGAAACAAAATGTTTTTCACATTATAAAAGTACATGAAAGAATTCTTCAGCTTACAAATTATCAGTAGATACAATCAAAATGAAGAAATTCAATGTGAAACTCAAAGGGAAATCCCACGTAAAGCAAAGTGATCTTGCTTTAATTTGTTTGCATTTACTGTACACACGAAAGCTTTTCCTTGGGAAATTATTTAATTTGCAAATTCTGCAATTAAACTAAGGTCACAAAATTTATCACCATATGAACAATTTCCTGCAAGTAACATACTAAACAAAAATACCAACAAACATGATGCAAATTCTTCAACTTCTGCAAAAATAACCCCCATCAAAACATTTTGTTCCACGGATTTGCAAAATTACCCCATAAAAATATCCCTGTTTTGCAGAATTTAATGGCAAAATTATTCAAAGAATGAAAGCAAAATCTTAATTTTGTAAGGATAAGGTCCAACTGAAGATCAGCATCTTGAATTTACACACATCTGACTATCTGCAAGTTCAGTGGTAGAATCTTCACAGTGTTTTTCCTCTCTTGGAATGAGCAAAGAACAGATAAGGGACAAGAGAACTATTGTTGCATGGCACGAAGCACTTCTGTTTTTCAGGAAATGTACTGGTACTTGAATTGCATTTTCATCAAGAAAACACACAGTATGTATACCTGCACACATACATGTACTTCTTAATTTCATAACACAATCCTTCTGAACACAAAAGTAATTTCAACAATGTTTGCTTCTCCACTGATGTATCTCTTAATACACAATTCAAAGTGATGAATGTGGCATCTTTCTAAATTGTCAAATTATTAGGTAGACAATTGTAGCATTGTTGCATTGGTATAAATTCTGCATATTGTAAAATTTGGAAGATCTATTGAGTACTGAGGTCTTATGGAATTCATGTGAAGCCATCCATGGAAAGAAAGCTCTAAGCTGAACATCCCAAGCAGAAAACTCTCTCAAAACTTTCATCATAACTGAAAAACAGAGATGGTATATATAGCAAGTGATAAGCCTAGTTAAATGCATACTTAGGTACCCTTTCAAACACAACTTTCTTTTAGTTATTAATATTTAAGATGAAAATCTTTAATTAAAAAAACCACAGATTGAAAGACAGGATCAGAACTTAAATTGCAAAAAATTAAACTTAAGGTATGTCACTCGTCGGCTTTTGAGAAAAGTTTGGTCGATCCTCTAACTTCAAAATTCTTTATTACATTCAATTTTATGACATACTAGAATTAAACAATGCAAATTATACAATATTCAATTTAAAAACTGCTCATAAAATTGTAAAGAAACAATACTATTTCTTGTAGTTGAAGGATATCTAGAAGAAAATTCTTAAAATCTACACATTTCTTTGATTTAATACCTTGGAACTTAGCCCTAATATTATTCAAACTATTTAACATAGAATAAGATTACATTTATTGCCATAATATTTGGTAAAATATGATTATGGTAAAAGTGATTTATCATTAACCTAAACGTTACAATTTAAGTGCAAAAAGGTCCAGTTAAATGTACATTTGCTCAGTAAGATGCACACTGACCCCAGTTTTCTTTGCAATTTTAAGTCATACTTTATGAACAGTTATCTAAAATATATTTCTCAAAAAATCCTTGATATATATAATGAGTGACATCCCTAAGTAAGAACTGATATCAACAAAGCATAGATATATGCAGCACTACAACTACAATATTAAGATATAAAATCTGAAGGGAACTCACTTGAGGACTGAACAAAGCTGACAGAAGTTTCTCTGACAGTTGTAGCACTGTAAGGATTGCTCATTACTCAAAGCTTTCTCACAGAAGTTACATCGTTCATCAGACGGCAGTCGCCTCCTTTCTACTGGCTTTTTACCTATACACATCATGATAAACAAAGTGTAAATAAAATAACCAATTTCAAATCACTTAACTCAATTAAAAGTTCTATAAATAATTCATAATTATCTGGATAACTGAAAGAAAATTGTTAAGATTTCTTATAGCTCTAGCGATGGACATGAGCTTACCCTTTGAAAAATCAAATGTACTAGAACTGTTGTTTAGTCCAAATGCAGTTGGCTGACTAGTTTCCATGTCTTCATTTGGAGCCCTGTTCAATGCTGATGGAACAGTCAGCTGACCCTCATGGTCAATAACCAGCTGACCAGGGACCTGGGATGTGGCATCCATTGTATTGTAGTTGGCGATAAATGGCAGATTACAATTGGCATCAGCAGTCACTGTGTCAGAATGGTACAATGTCTGAACGCCATTGAAGAGCATATTTTTTGTCCTCTCTGGAACAAGTGAAAAACCAAAATTGAATACAATTCGAATTCAGTAATTTTAAGCAATTCTTCTTTGCAGTTACTTTCTAATGTAATTCTGTGCACTGATACCATCCTTGGGAATTACATGTATTCAGTAGGGCTGCACAATAATATTGATATTCTGGTAAATTGCAATTCATAGGCAAAAAATATTGTGATACATTTTTCAGTAATGATATACCAACAAAATGGTAGGGCTTATTTTAGATTTCTGACTTAAAATATGAAATTTAATGTGTCAAAAATGAATTTCGCTGAGATTAACTGTTTCAGTGTTTGTGATTCTGGATAGCTGCAGATCTGTAGATCGCTGGTCTGAAAAAATTGGGATGGACGACCAGAGAGCTTCAGTGCCACTCATTGAAAAAAATGTATATTTATTGTGCACCAAAAAGCAGGGGTGTGCAATTAGCATCGCCCGACACCCGGGGCTACCATTTTTTAGGGTCGGGCTAGTGGTTTTCTGCATGGAGGTAGCCCCGTGGGCTATTAATAAAAAATACCAACGTAACATATGAAAATCACTACTGGTATTTTCACTCATATTTTGCTATTTAATTCCCAACCAATGAAAAATTTCCAGGCAGCATGCTCCTGTTGTTCGTAAATATCCATAATCTTATCCATTTTGCAGCACTTCCGGACTTATTTACTTCCAAAATGATTTTTTTCTAATCCGAATTTCCTCCATTCCTCTGTTTATGGTAAATACATGCTGAAATCTTATTAAATTATTTACGATCACTCAATCAACTGAAAGATAAGTGTTATGTGATTTACATAAAATATATTTCCAGTATATTTAATAATTCAAGATGAAAAAAAAATGATTTCACTTCGTTTTAGATGAGTTAGTGCAATGCATAGAAAAAGGAAAAATAATTTATTTAAATAAATTTTTATATTATAATTATTAATTTATATACATGATTAAATTTTAATGGTGAGAATTAAACTTTAATTTTAAAAAGAATAACCTTAAAACCCTGATCTTTTCACCACTAAACTACTTTTTTAGCTCACCTGAGCCAAAGGCTCAAGTGAGCTTTTCTGATCAAAATTTGTCCGTTGTCTGTTGTTGTCGTAAACTTTTCACATTTTCATCTTCTTCTCCAGAACCACTGGGCCAATTTCAACCAACTTGGCACAGAGTATCCTTGGGTAAAGGGGATTCAAGTTTGTTCAAATGAAGGGCCACGCCTTCTTCCAAGGGGAGATAATTATGAATTCGAGAAAAATTAATGGCATCATTAAAAAATCTTCTTCTCAAGAACCACTGTGCTTGAAAATATGAAACTTATGTGGAAGCATCCTCAGGTAGTGTAGATTCAAATTTGTTAAAATCATGACCCCCGGGGGCAGGGTGGGGCCACAATGGGTGATCAAAGTTTTACATAGGAATATATACATGTAGGAAAAATCTTTTAAAATCTTCTTCTCAAGAACAGCAAAGCCATGATTGGTCATATTTATATGGAAGCATCCTCAGGTAGTGTAGATTCAAGTTTGTTCAAATCATGACCCCCAGGGGTAGGGTGGGGCCACAATGGGCGATCAAAGTTTTACATAGGAATATACATGAAAAATCTTTAAAAATCTTCTTCTCAAGAACAGCAAAGCCATAATTGGTCATTTTTATATGGAAACATTCTAAGACAGTGTAGATTCAAGTTTGTTCAAATCATGACCCCCGGGGTAGGGTGGGGCAACAATGGGCTATCAAAGTTTTACATAGGAATATATAGGAAAAATCTTTAAAAATCTTCTTCTCAAGAGCAGCAAAGCCATGATTAGTCATATTTATATGGAAGCATTCTTAGATAGTGTAAATTCAGGGTTGTTTAAATTATGACCCCCGGGGGTAGGGTTGGGCCATAATGGGTGATCAAAGATTTACATAGGAATACATAGGAAAAATCTTTAAAAATCTTCTTCTCAAGAACAGCAAAGCCACTATTGGTCATATTTAAATGGAAGCATCCTCGGATAATGTAGATTCAAATTTGTTCAATTCATGACCCCCAGGAGAATAGAGGGGCCATAACAGGGGATCATAGTTATACAAATGATATATCAATAAAAATGTTCTTCTTAAGAACAGCAAAGCTGTTATTTGTCATATTAATTCAAAAGCATCCCTATGAAGTATAGATTCAAGTTAGTTCAAATCAACCCCCTCCAACCACTTTTAAATTCAAACTTTTCAACCTACGAAGCTCGTTGGACCGAATTGTCTTGCCACTTAGAATGGCTGTATAAATAGGCAAAATTTCCAATGGTCCCATGGTCTCAGGCCTAGGAGGGCTATTAACAACAGTTTTTGGGAATGTTTTATTTTCGAAGTAGTGAAAAAATATGTTAGGAACACATGGTTTGTAATATTTTGAGATGGCATCTTAAATAAACGGAGAAAGAAATCGAGAAACAGTGTACTTTTCTCGTGCGCAATAAATATACACTTTTTTTCAAAGGGTGGCCCTGTAGCTCTCTGGTCGTCTATCCCAATTTTTTTCAGACCAGCGAGCTACAGATTTGCAGCAAGATTCTGGGATGCAGACCTTCTTCAGTAGTGAACAGTACATTTCAAGGGCCCCTACAATTAAACTTCCATTTAGGCTAACTTATGAAATTAATTGAGAGTTCAACATGTCAAGTCAATTCAAAAAAAAAAAAGAAAAATACAAAAGACAATAACTCCGTAATTCCATAATTCTTATCACAAACCAGTGTTTTGTCAATACACAAATGGAAAAACGTTGTTTTCCTTTTTGACAACGTTAAGCAACCACGCAATAAATCACTTACCATACACAGCTTTAAGATTCTGCTCTCCGCTAACTCCAGCGTTTAATTCCTTATTACCAATGTGAGATTTTAGCTGAAGGGGTGATCCTTCACCAAACGGGTTTCTTCTTTTGGGCATGTTTCTTGTCTCTGTTTACTTGTAGACAGTTTCGCGGGGTAAAGTAGCGTTTCCGGTATACATAGTATTCGAGTCATGCCGGACAAAATTTCCGGATTATGACAACTCGTCATTTGTTCTGTTCCTCGGCAGTAGAATTTCTGTCAAAAATTGTCGGGATTAAATCAAAACCTGTATTTTTTCTAAATATTCTGGATACTCCTTTCACTTTTATGATGGTGTATAATTGCTATTTCAATTTTGAACGATTAAGAAATTCGTTTGTACAATTAAGAAAATCGTTAAAACGATTTATAAATTCTTTTGTACGAATTAAAAATTCGTTTGTACAATTTATAAAATCGTTTGAACGAATTAACAACTGCGTTTGTAAGATTTACAAATCGTGATCAACAATTTAATTGTACGATTTTTTAAAAAATCGCGTTTGTATGATTTTTTAAAACTGTTTGTTCTTTGCCTCTTAAGTACATATATATGTTCTTGACTCATTCAATAGAAAAGAAAACAATCTTTATACAACCAATACTGTGGAAAAATAACTGATGCAAAAGACATTTATCAACATGTGCGCATCCATTCTCTATCCATTTTACTCTCTTGGAAGTGCAAAAACTCCCCTTAGTATTCCACCCCCTACCCAATAATGAATTAATGATCATTACTTTAAACAACATTTCATTCAGATAAATCTGAATTATCATTATCAGAGAAGTCCCCTCTTTTATCTTAGTACAGTCTTTTGCTCTTGATTTAGAAAAAAAAATTGAAAGACCTGCCCCCCCCCATCCCCCTCCCTGCACTTATTTATGCACGGTCAAACTGTCCCACGCATACCTTCATGTATCAAAAACATTTGTTGTAGAACGGAGAGTTGCCCCACCCCCACCCCACCCCAAAAATTGGATTGTTGAGTTTATTTAGTACACCCCCCCCCCCAACTGCTCAGGACAATAGGAGCCTGTCCGGTGGGGGTGGGAGTATTTCACAAGTATAATATACTTTAGTTACTTTACAATAGATCCGCCTCTAATATTTAATCCCATGCTTGATTTCATCTTTTGATCTATGGCCCGTGCGTGAAAGCTCCACCTTCTATGCCTTCCGGTATCTGAATAGTGTTCAGTCACACCTTTGATCCCATGGTCGAATGCTTCCCATTTCCCGCCATCTCACTGATTCTAGAAAAAAAAATACGAGTTACTCATGAAAGGTAGTGTTTCTTTTAGTATATTTACAAATATTTATTTGTATTTAACGCTTGAAAGTACCAGACAACGTTGAAATGGGCTTAACGGTAACATTCAGCGAACAGTCAGGCCAGACTTAGGGGCAAGGTCAAGGTATTTCACTCGTCAGTTTTTGAGGAAAGTGTTGTTTAATAATAAAAATATCAATTACAATTTATTATTTTACGACATATTTGAACGTATGACCCTCTAAAGGTAGGGTAGGGCCACCATTGGAGATCATTTGAAAGTTTTACATTGAAATACATATAATAAAACAGTCTTCTTCTCTCAGCTTTTGAGAAATGTTTTGTCTTAACCCTCTAATACTAAAAATAAAAATTACAATTTATTATTTTATGACATATTTGAATTTATGATCCCCTGGGGTAGGGTACAACCACAATGAGAGATCAAAATTTTACATCGGTATATACTGAAGATTTTTTTTTCTCGAGAAGAACAAAGCGGTGACTTATTTTATTAATATGGAAGCATCCCCAGGTAATGTAGGTTTAAGTTTGTTCATATTACCCCCCCTTTCCCCAGTAGGGTGGGTCCATTATAGGAGATCAAAGATAAAGTTATACATGGGAATTCTGAAGAAGAGCAGCAGCTGCAGGACCATGATTAGTCATAGAAAGTCATATGCAAGTATAGTAGGATGGTGTAGATTTTTAAAAAAGTTAAATCATCAGGTGTTACACAATATCTTGATTTTATTTATAACATGTAGCTTGAATTGGTTGAATTGGCTAGAACAGCTGTTATGAAATTTTAAGCTTTATTTGGCTGTTCAAAATAGCTTGAAAAAATTAATGGGTTTAGTTTTTTTTACAAATAGGAAATAGGCAAAAAGTTACAATTTTATGACGTGCTCATATTTGTACCATTGAATCCAAATAAAAGGTATTTTAAACATTGCTGCTTTTGAACATCTTTAAGCAAAATATGTATTTCTGTTGTTTGGGTAAATTTACACCCACCTTTTGTGCATTGAGGCAAGGCTAAGTATGATTACTTCACATTGTGCTGAATAATTACCTATCAATTACCTTGTTCACCACAATTGTCCCCTCTTAGAACTTTAATCAAGAAGTACTTATTACTGAGTGATTACAAATCAAATGCTTATAGCCCCCAAGCTTTTAAAAGTCTGGAGGAGACACAGTTTGATAAACAATTTTTTCAGGCATTGTATTCAGAACAATTAATACAAAGCTGAAAACTGTCACTGCATCAAAGTGCAACTTTTTTTGCACACTGCAAATTTTAAAACAGTGAAAAAGGCACAATTAACAAGAAAGTACAATAACACAAGAAGGTGTTCTGTCTTCTTAATAACTAAAGCTTTTGTGAATAGCTAAATCAAGCTATATCTCATTAATACTTTAGGTAGCTAAATTGAGCTATATCTCATTTATACTATAAATAACTAAATCAAGCTATATCTCATTTATTCTATAAATACTGTAGATTCCTAAATATACGCGAGGAATTAATTATTGCGTAATTACGTGAGAAGCACCACTCGCTAAATAAAATTACTCGCTTTTATTTTTATGGTGATTAAATCAATGTAAAATCTCTTCATCAAACGTCCACTCGCGAATTATTGTTCTCGCGATTTGACGTCAAAGAGTCATTTCGCGAATATAAGTACTCACGAAAAATAAGGAATCTACAGTAGCTAAATCAAGAGATAATGTGAGGAAGTCCTGCTCAAGGCCTCTAGGGCTAGGGTGAGTCTCTAAGAGGGTATCAGAGCTAATTACAAGGGTTTGTAGAAAGAGATCTTTTTTCAAGAGAAGCATTAGCTGCAGTCATATGCAAAAACTTCTAAGTTGTGTGGACCTTTTTTAAGTCATAGACTATGGGCTATAGGATTAGGATAGGGCTAATTGAATTGAATATTGAAATTAAATTTTTAGGTCACCTGAGTCTTTCAAATGACCTATGACTATTTGTTTTTGTCCATCATCATGCATTAACATATAAACATTTTCAGCTTCTTCTCTGAATTACTTAAAAGTAGAACCAATTTAAATCATTAAGTGTCTTTAGATAAATGGGAAAGAAATAGTGAATTTTATGGTTCCTGTCCCCTTTTCATGTACCACATGTACCAAGTGTTCTAATCTAATATTTTTATACATTATATTGGTAACAGCTATTCAACAGCATCAACATTAATTTGACCTTAACTTTTCTTTGAACTTGACTTCAAATTCATGTTAAGCTAAATTTCAAAGAGACAATTCAAGATATTTTAACCAAACCTTATATGCTTATGCATATTAATGATAGATTTTCAACTGCTTCAACATTTTTTGGCCTTGACCTTCCTGTGAGCCTCATCTCACTTTTCTTAAAAGAGTGTTAAGGAGGTTGGATCCTGCCATCAAAAGTAATGAGAATTTTTTATGAAGTATATTTTTAGAATTTATACACATAGCTTTATTAAAAATCAAAACAAAAAATGGGGGTCAATGCGCCTCTTTTGGCGCTACAGAGCATTTAGTTTGACCTTTTTGCACTGTAAATACGTCTTACACATATATCAATTTTTAAAGTTTTTCCTTCAATATTTTTTGTTCAAATAAATTATGGTGAGCAAACACTGTCTTATTTCATCTTAAATAGACCCATTAAAATTCGTAACAACGAAGTAATTTTCGAAGTACTCCACATCTTCAATTATTTGACCTTTTTGCACTCAAACATTTTCATTTTTCTGGCATTAAAATTTAACAAGCAAAAAAATCATTTGAAAGTAATGCCATTTTACTGAATTTAAGAAGAATGGTTAAAAGTATTGTATATATTCAGAAAAGAAAATTAGAAGTGGGGGTCTGTGATGTTAATTTTTAGATATTACTAAAATAGTGCTAATTTTAAGCTTAAATTAGGGCTATTTTTTTTCTTCATTTCCACAATATATTTGCTATATTTATCAAATATGATGATAGAATTCATGACAGTTTATTTAATAGATAATTTAGGACCAGTATTAAACAGTCCACTGCACAAAATAACTATGTGTGCAGACTGCATGTAAAAATAGGAATCCAAACTTAACATACTTTAAATACTTCGAAAGAGAAAAAAATGATCATTTTCTTCTTAAAAAACCTTCCGCCACAAAATATAGTTCCTCACTTAATGCTTTTGATATGGAATTTATTCATGGAGTTTTAACTGAATATAGTTAAATTGGCATTGTAGAATCCAAATTTATTGTAAGAATTAAAACATTACGCAGAATTTTTGAAATATAGGTTAAGGTAAGAATCTGCTCAAAAGCTCAGGAGCGAACCTCGTTAAGCTCAGTTTCTTTAGCTCAGTTTCAAAGAAACTTTTCAAGATATCTTAAAAAAATCTAATATACTGAGACATATTGGTGACAGCTGTTCAAAAACTTAATAATATTTTTAACCTAGACCTTTCCTGTGACCTTTTCTTCACTTTTCTCAAATTTGTGTTTAGCTCAGTTTCAAAGAAATACCAACTGCATGTGTCCAATTTTTTTTACTCAATGACCTTTGACTTTACTTTTAAATGTGTATAAAAATTAATTTTAAATAAACTGTTCAAGATATTTTCCTTAAACTTCATATACAAATACAAATTTTCTTGCTGCAATACTTAAGAACCCTGGTCGGGGCATTCATTTTTCTGAGTGGACATAGTTAAAATGCTTCAAAGGTCTATAAAATTCTACCGAAGCAAATAATGAAGAAAAAAAAAAAAACTGATCCTCTCTCCCCCCAAAAATGGATGAACAAAAAGCTGCATGAATCTACTCTGAAATGACAATCAA